GGGGGGGGGGGGTGGCACACAGATTAAATGGACCTTGCTGTTGGGGTACAAAGTCCGCTTTAAGCATTATTGTATTTCTGTGTCTTCTGCATCGTGTTATGATCTGATTGGTCTCATCCTATATATTATATATATATCCTAATATTTGCATTCTTTCCTTATTGTATTTGTATGAAGAAGGCCAAACTATTGAACTGTTGACAGGTAGGTTAATACTGGGGTGTTATCGTGTGTAAAAATGAACAAAGAACATGAAACAGACTTAACTGCATGTGTGTGTACAGTATCTGTGTGTGTGTTGTATTTTGTGCTCAGCATGATTTTTAAGTGAAGTGAATAGGTTTTTTTTTTTTCCCGCCATCATTCACCCATTTTTCATTTTTTTGTGTTGGTATGTTGGAACACGAGCATGTGTGCTCTTGCCTGTAGTAGATGAATTTGAATTTTTATTCATGTGAAAAGTGGCCAAATATTTTCTTTGGGTTAGTGTTTATTTTTCTTCTGATTGGTGTTTGTGAAGGATTTGAAATAGGATGTGGATTTTATTTTTGTAGTGTTTACTGCTATGTTTTGCTTTGGTTGTTTTAATATTTTAATGAGGTTTAGTTAATGCCTCGTGTCCTCTTCTGCTGCATCTGAAATTCTTCACCCCCCCACTGCTAATTCATGTCAATAGGTATGCAAACAAAATCAAGCAAGACACAACTCTACAGCTGTCCATTCATGGCTCGTTTTTCTCTTTTAGTCTGCAGGCTGAACATAAAAAAAAAAAATAGATTCCCCTATCCACGCTGAACAACATGGATGGAGAAATCTCACCTGACAGCTTTTGTATTCAGCAGTTGCTACACCCACAATTGTCTAAATACAGTGGCACTGCCAGATCTAATGCAGTCACAATTTTCCATCCGGCTCAGTCAAATTTTTAATTTGTCTTTTGTCAAGCCTGTTGGTGCCAGCGTGGCCATCCTAAGCTCAAATTTCAGCTCCAGCAGCATGAATTGTCCCAAATTCGAACCGCCTATGTAATGTTCTTCAACACAAGTCATTTTCCCGGAGAGTAGCTGAAATCGCACTGCTTTGACTTGCTTCTGTGTCACAGGTCACAGATATAATGATTTATGTTTATGCCCGTTTATGCCATGATCTCTCCAAAGAACAGTCATTCCGATCTTCTCTGCCTTTTTGTTGGTGGCTGCATTTGTCACAGGAAATTCTGTGATACCACAACATTGATGTAATTTGGGATTGCCACAAAGGAAGGCCATGGAGCTACATGTGAGTTTATGCAGTGTGATCTACATCTAGTAGAAATCCATGAACCATCGTTTAATCCAAACTTGGCTGGTGGGTGCAGCGCTAGTCGACGGATGGCAACGTCACATGCACAAGTAGAAATGAGACACTGGCACTCCAACTGCAGATCAAATGCGTCTTTTTATTGGCGCACATGCAGCATATCGCACAAGTGCACCGTTTCGGGGTCTTGCAGGATCCCTTTTCTCAGGCAGAACATGTGATCACATCACATCTCCTTTTACTAACAGCAGCCAAATCCAACACTGCGTGTACACTGATGACAAGGGAGACCTCAGGGTTGCTTCTTGATTAAAAAAAAGTTATAAAAAATAACTGCAAACTGTAATGCTTAAGAACATCTGAGCAATAAATTATGGGACCACACCAGGATTTTATTGTAATAACTTTACTTGTAGATTTAACCAATCCTCTTGTGAACTTCTACATAGTTAAACGATAACAGTGCTAGTTTCTGGGCATGCTGTATTTCCATTACCACACCTTTTTGCTTATTATATGGTCAAAGATGCATTGTTCAGCCCACCAAAGACATTACAGCATGGATTGCTTGATTTTAACATACAAGTATTTTATAGAATAGGTATTTTGAGTAAATTCACAAATATTAGCACACAGATTATCACTTAAAATGACTTCAGGCTGATAATAACTGGGACTTCATTGAGGGGTCTATTGAGGAAGACAGGAAAATGAGCTGACTGACATGCATGTAAAAAAAAAAAATGCTGAGTAAGATAAAATATAGATTTATGAGAAATTTAAATTGTATCTAAAAGCAAAATGTTTTAGATTACATTTGTAAGAGATACAGCCCCTGTCAGGTTATGTCCCCACTAGGGAGATTCGCTGTTTGCCCTGGTGTCCATTGTCACTGGGACAGAAGATTTTGGGAAATCCAGAATTTTACAGTTGTCACCTGTATATGACTCAAGGTAGAACTCTTCCAGCGAGGTACTGTAGACTTTCCTTGAGACACAAAGTAAAGTAAGATCTCCCTAATGGGACACAGATGGCAAAGCAAAACCCAAGAGGAGCTCTAACCAATCCTCACTGTAGTCAAAATAAATAAAGTTTTAGGAACAAATGATCATGGGCTAAAATTAGAAGTTAGAATTACTCATCTAGGTTTGTGAATTGAGCCAAAAAAAGATGTAGGTCAGAAGTTCCTTTTCTGTCACTATGTCTCATCTCTGATGCGTTGTACGGGTTGATGATTTATTTTTGGTTTGTATTGATGAAATACATAAATGATGACCTTTTACTGACCTGGTATCCTCACATTGTCTTCTCTGTTCAGTGAACTTCTCCAGGACCTGGACAGTTGCAGAGATGACCCCGTGGCTGTGGCCAGCTGCTTTGTGCAAAAGGTGATTTAAAAATGTTGGCTCCAGTTCTATCTAGACTACTTGTAAATAAATGAATGACTGTTTCCATGTGTGTACACTAGATATGATGTGAGACCTCACGAAAACAGGCAACTTATCTCTACATTTCTGGCATGTACATACTGTCTGGCCATGGAAGAAATGCTTTCTAATGCGAGATCATGGGAAAATGTGATTAAAAGCTTTGCAGATAGCAATTCGATAATGGATCGGATATAATTGTAGGCCTTGGTCATCAGCTGATTTAAAAACACAGCCTGATTTTTAGTTTAGGTAAACCTTCTCAGTGACTCAGCTAGATGTGGGCAAAGTATTAGGAATTATCTCCTGATACCTGTGCTTTCTAATCTTTTTCCTATTTCCATTTTCAGAGCCAAGACTTTGATATTTACACCCAGTACTGCAATAACTATCCAAAGTAAGTATTTTCATATAGAATGCAAATGTCCACTGACATAAACTTTCAAGTTTCATTTAGTGTAAGAGCTATCTTTTATGTGCCATTGTGGAATATATTTCTAAGGTACATGCTTCTAAAACATGCTAGCAGGATGTTTTGGTTTGTTGGCAGCCAATAATTTGAATGAACTGCCCTAATGCAATGCATGTTAACACACACATAATACATGTTAATGTAACACACCAAGACACCAAGGTGTGAATAGGCCCTGGGTGTTTCCCCTGTACCCAGTATTCTCCATTGGGAAGATCCTGCCTTTTGTACAACACAGAGAATGTGAACCCAGACTGTGTCAGTGTCCTCACCAGTGCAGCAGACCTATCTCCACATGCATGGGAAATTGTTAGGATGGAGTCGGTAGCTGAGCTGTTTAATTTGTATTGCATTGCAAAAGAAGCGTTCTTTAGTCTGGTTAGGCTGTAGTTTGGACATCTTCATTTTAAAGGGTAATTCCACTTTCCCAGGTGATTTGGGGGGGGGGGGGGGAAAGTACATTTTCCCAATCTAACCCCCTCTCCCTTCGCACCCTGCTATACTTACGTTTCATGACCGCTTCTTCCCCTTCGCCAGTGCAGGTGTGCTATCCTTATCCAGTGCCGCCATGTAGCGCAGCCCTGTGGTTTAGATTTTGAATGTCACTCGCAAATGGCAAGCATTCATTGGTCAGCAAGGTCCCAAGCGCTTCTCATTGGTCCTCACGGTCAGGTGACCACACTGACAAAAGAGTGCTCACCATTTGCGAGCGAAAATCCTAAATCCAAAGCGCAAATCCTACACGGAAGTACGGGGTATGGATAGTACACCCACACCAGCGGAGGGGAAGGAGTGTTCGCCCAAAGGTAAGTATAGCGGGGGGAGGGTGCTGTATTGGAGGGCGTAATTACCTTTTCTACTTTCCAAGGTGAATTTGGGAATTACCCGTTAAAACCGTGGATAGAAGGTACGTCTATGTTTACATGCCTGGCCAATGGTAGGGCTTAATTTAATTCCCACATAGAAACTGGTCTAGTGCTTTTGGAAGGAAATTATCTGATTTCCACTACAATTTTATGACACAAAGTATACTAAATATAATTATTTGGGTTTATAAATCTGTTTAAAAAATAGTTATACAACTTCAAAAAGAGTTTTATGTGGGGGTCCGTCCCAACAATTGCACAGAATCCCATCAGATATAGCTGGTAAGTGCAGGACAGTCTCTGACAGGCTCAAATAGGTTTCAGGCTTTTCAGCTTTTTTTCTGTCCTCCAGAATGTTTGAGTTCTTTTATGCACATGAAGCTGAAAAGGAGGGTGTGGAAGCTGGGAGGGGAGGTTGACTTGTTTAAACAAGTGTTGGGCAAAAGCAGGAAATCAGTTGTACCAATGATTCCCAGGCTGTGGGTACTGCGTGTTCATTTCCATGCACATGCTCATTAGTCAGGAGCACAGACTGCTTGACCTTGCAGAATCTCTCTACATTCCTGTGTGTACTCCTGCTTTACATGGCTCTTTCTGCCTCAAAAGGAAACAAAAAGCCTTTAATCCTCAACAGCCGATGACTATATTCTGGAACTGGAGGCATCTCAAACATTTATATTAGTAAACAAAGAATAGTCCATTCTGGACAGATTTTACCACTGAAATGAACCTGAATATAATCGATATGGCACAAAAAATAAACAATTATGTGTATAAAATATTTTGAAATATATCTTTCTACTCTCGTTACATTGTAAAAAGGTGCTCGCTTAGTGAGATGGCACATATATCTCACTGCTGTTCTAAGTAATGGAAAATGTTATTTTTTTCCTGACAACACAAAAGCACCATGAACGGATGTGCGATTGGGTGATGTGGGCTACTGTATATTGCCAAATGGGTTCTTCAGTTTGTGGAACCACCATCCAGCAATTTTGATCCTTTTGTCCCATTGTGAGGAAACATATGCCCATCCCTTAAGATTTAATGGTGCCAATAGAGCAACCTTATCTGTAAATAGGTAAGCCACTATACCAGAAATATTTGAAGGATATTCTTACTTGAGACAGCACAAAAATATCAGAAGCAACTAGATTTCCTTTTAAACCGGAAAACAAATTAAAAAGACCCTCTGAATCATTTGCTGGACAGAGCAAAGATTTCCAAATCACCTTTGATGGGTCAATAGCTATGTGCACCTAATTGATTGGAATGGTGAACGCCCCATCTTCTTTGGGCTTTTTTTTCTGTTTTTACTTCTTTTGTCCTGTCATAATCTTGAAGACTATTAAAAAGGTCAATTATTTCTGCTTGTTGATTTGAAACTACAGGATCATAAAGTTGGTTCTAAATCACAAAGCATGAACAAAGGGCTCAGGAGCATACAGGGGCCAGGAATTGGCTAACCAGCCAAGTGATTTATCTGGCATCTCTCTAGTCATGTCATAAAACATTCAGTACAATGCCTATAGATCTGTCGCCGGCAAGGCTTAGAGGAAGTTCACTTTTGCCAATCCCGCACTCTTGATTTGTCATTCTAATCTGCCACTCCTACATGCATTTCACTAAAGCGGGATCAAAAGTGCTTTCGCATTTTCAAAACATGTTTTAAGCAGAGTTTTTCAGGACATTTTCTTATGAGGATAATTCAGGAACTGGGGCATGTAAGAAAATTTGTGACTTAAAAGAGAACTATAGGGTAAGCTTTTTTCCCCATAGTTCTCAAGGGTCACGGGAGGACATATACTAGCGTCCTCACGTGACCCAAAGCTCTGTATATCGCGAGCTACAACTTGCGATATACTGAGACCGCTGCAGCCGGAACGGATCCCGACAATGCTGTTGAGATCCACCCAGCGGCGTGAGTGACAGCTGGATCTGCCTATCTAGAGGCAGAGCCAGCTGTACCCGCCCGCTCCCCGTCCGTTCTGCCAGTCAGCACTATAGGATCGGAGCAGGGAGGGGGGGAAACTCTGCGGGGAGCCGTGAGTGACAGTCACCGCTCACTGCAGGGAAATGATCGAGAAGTGAGCGAGCGACGGTATGCGTTCACTTACTTCCCGATCTATTGAGCCGACGTGTGACCGTTTAATTGTCACACGTCGGCTCGAACGATGAGGCTGATTGATTTTCACTCACCTCATAGTTCTCCTTTAATCATTTATGTAGTTCATTGAATAATACTTCCTACCTACATTTTGAAGTGGGAAGTCCTGTTTACAATCAAGTGCAACATAAACATGGCAAAATAGTTTAAGTAGAATCCAAGCCAAAAACAATTTCCTATCTTTTGGATGGGGGCTGAAGAAGGTTTACCTGTGTCTGTCCCTTACTGGGGGGGATTTTTCCCAGTTCCTGAGGCCAAATGTTCTAGAACCTGAAAGTGAGGTGATTGTGTTCGGCACTGAAACAGGAGTTAAGGGCAAATCTCAAAAGTCAAGTCACCTATAAAGGTGACAACTGCACAACATGGTGATTTTGTCTCACTTTGGAAAGATGTCACTGAAGTGTCACTGAGACAGGATACAGACCTTAAAAGTAGAAAGGGGGTGTTGAAGGCTGTTAAACTGGTATCTGGAGTGATCCTTACTGTCTGGGGATTTTTCTACAGTATATCTCCATTTCCAATAGACTAGCATATACTGGCTTTTTAGCTGTACCCTGTTGAAAGGAAACACTGTAAACCCCAGAAATGTGTTGGCTTTTTATGGCACCAAACTGAAAAAATTAGACCTGGGCTTCAGCCGATTTGGGTCTTGTGCTGTACTCCTTGCATACCAAGCAATACAGGCCCAACAGAGAATCTAACCCTTTCCTTATCTATTCAAGACTTAAAAATGAACAGGTTCCTGCCAGAGTCTTATTATATCCATCTGTATTATGTCACTATTTGACTCTTACAACCTAGTTCTATATTGAAGCATTTTCATTCGTTTTGATTATAAAGTCTGGAATTTTATATTTATTTTAAATCTGCATTATGAACAACAACTACACCACTGTGATGGCACTGTCTCATTTCAGCTCTGTGGCTACCCTGACTGAATGCATGAGGAACAAAGTCTTGTCTAAATTCTTCAGAGAGAAGCAGGAAATACTGAAACAGCCGCTTCCATTAGGAGCCTACCTTTTAAAACCAGTACAGAGGATACTGAAGTACCATCTCCTGCTACAGGTAACGCACTGTAATCAGCTTGGTTTACCTGCCCGGACCATGTTGAGTGGTATCTGTAGAACTGCTCGATCACTACTCCTATCTTCTATTAATGGTTGATTAATGATATGGGTGAGCTCTCACTCCTGTTCTGTCATTGACAGGTTTTACCCTACATTTTTGTCATTGGATACAATACATTTTATGTATTGTATTACCTGTACTACGTGCCTTGTTGCCTGTTACTTTGTACAGCACCATGGAGTATGATGGTGCTGCAAAAAAATCATTAAGTGACCATCTAAGAGGTTCTCATAGTAGCAGTTACTTATGATTGGTAAAGCGTGTAAACATCCAATGATATTACACAGGTTGATGTTAATGTTCCAGTCTGTGCAAACGATTTGTTCACTCACTTTCTTCTATGTATTTATGCCACAACAATGGTTATTTAACTAAAATTTATGTGGCCAATTATCTGTAAATACAGTATCAGTGAAATTTGTAGGAGCACAGTATGCATGCACAATGCCAGTAAATGGACTGGTTTTGCTTATAGTTTTGTTTACCTTTTTGTTTGATTTAATTATGACGTTATGCCCAGAGTGTATTGTATAGGAGGAGCTGTACAATTATGTCACAGATTTGATATTGCACATGTACAGTTGACTTCATGGCCTGTACTTTGATAGATGATTCTTGTCTTTCAGGAAATCGCCAAGCATTTCGATGTGAATAAAGAAGGGTATGAGGTGGTGGAGGAGGCCATTGAGACCATGACTGGCGTGGCCTGGTACATTAATGATATGAAGAGGAAGCATGAGCACGCGGTGCGCCAGCAGGTGAGTCATGAGGTGGACTTCTCATGTTTGTGCAGTGGTATCTGACCTGTATAAATTATACCATCCTTGCTGTCCACAAATCACTGTGGTATTCCAGGACTTTCATTGCTGTTCATCAGGTCTTAAAATTTTTGTGTTTGTGCTGCTTAGTGCAAAGTGTCAACTGTGATATCTTAATAGGCGCTTTGCTCTGGACCATTCAGTAGCGTAGGTTCTCTTGATATAGACGCATCCCAGTCTTACAAAAAAGCACAATTTTGTTTTCAGATAAGAAAGTGCTGATATCTGGAAATTAGAAGAGATCATGCGTCCTTGGAAAGAAAAGGGCAGCTAATGGCTAAGGCAGGACCTGATGCCCTAAAAAATGTGCTGAATAGAGTAATCTCCAGCTGCATATTGAGGATATAAACTCTTCTGCTCTCACTAATTCAGAACTATACAGCTATGATATGCCAAGGAGAAAGAAAAAAATCACTGATGATGGGTTTATTATTTATATATATGTATGTATGTATGTATGTGTGTGTGTGCGTGTATATATGTATGTGTGTGTGTGTGTGTATATATATATATGTATGTGTGTGTGTGTATATATAGTGACATTTTCTCTGAAATGTCATTGTACTGCCAATTTGGATACAACTGTTGATGAGAAGGTTTAGTTGAACTATGTCAGTGGGACCCAGAAAGAAGCATTATAATGCCGACTGCTGGGGATACAATTTTTTACCAGTTGGATTGTAATTGCAAGTTACAGTCATTTGCTCATTACAGTTAGGAGTGCAGCTTGAAAAATGGATGTTTGCAAATTAAATTTCTTACCATTTGGTCGTATACAACAACGAGCAGTTAAATAAGATGTCTTGTTTTTATTAATATGCCATTACCTGTCAGAAATAAAATTACATCTAATTAAAGCCGGCCATAATTGCAGCTTTTGCATCCAATGCAGGTGAATGTGTTGCTTGAATGGGGATTGGAGGGAGCAGCATTCGATTTGCAGCACTGCAGCTGAGCAGTAAATTGGAATACAAGGCAATATACTAACTGTAGAATCTCTTTGCTTTCTGTTCCCAGGAAATCCAGTCTTTGCTGCTGAACTGGAAAGGCATGGATCTTACCACTTACGGCGAGCTGGTTCTGGAGGGCACATTCCGTGTCCAGCGTGCCCGAAGTGAGAGGACATTTTTCCTGTTTTACAAGGCCCTGCTGATCACAAAAAAACGAGGAGACCACTTCGTTTACAAAACCCACATTCCGGTATAGACTTCAAAATTGCTCATGGTTGTTATAAATGGGGTTAAGTGAATGTATGTGATGGTTTGCAATGTCTAGTTTCTGTGTATACGGGATTGCAGATATTTGTATATAGACAAATGCACATTAAAGCAGACCTGTATTTAAATGCAAGAACACATCTTCATTGTTTTGACGAGCAATATAAAGGCTGACCTACTTAGAGTACATTGCCTGCAGAAAATGGTGCCCCCTGGCTCCCTCTGGTCTTGGTAATGTGTAAATTATTGGCACTTGGTCACATGCTGTATGCAATGTTAGCTTGCTGTGGTTTTGTGAGCTTGTTGAGCACTACTGTGTATCGTGCTAGTAAAACTGGAGAGGACCATTTCCACAGCATTTCCTGCAGCCAAGTGTCGGGTAGAGTGAGCTGGATCAGTTCATCTCTTGTCGGTGTGACCTCCCCAGAATGGCTGAGCTGATACCTGTAGCCCCATCTATCAGAAAGGATGCTACACAGAGATGCGTTCCAGTACAGTAACATTTAATTTAATAATTGGCCTTTCTCTGGTCAAATCAATCCAAGGGAAATCTTATCTCGGCAGCTGGGTTTTAGATTGTTTCATAATCTCAGTATAGGTATTCACTGCTGTTTATTATGTACATAATGTGTATTTTATTTTATTTATCACATAATATATATAACTTACATTTAGGACCCATTCACACCACTCGGGTCCCTTGCAGCGCTTTAAACATACATGCACTTGGTCGAGCATTCCTTTGGGGCAGCCGCCCATTTGAATGGGCTGCCTAACTGACCAAGAATTTTTAATGCAGCATTTTTGGCAGCACAATACACAACAAACCAGCATTGCAGTGTGCTGAGAAGGTGTGTTGGAATGCCAATCAGAATGAATTGCATTGCACATGTATTGCAGTAACTTGCGTGTTACCTCAGCAGTGGTCTGAGTGGGCCCTTATGGTTTTATTATTTAGTGCTGCTTTTTCAGAAATTATTTGAATTAACATACTAAAAATGTTGTGTAACATTCGCTTCTGCTCTGTGGTTTTGTAATTCTTTAGTGTGCAAGTCTGATGTTGATTGAGAGTACAAGAGACTCCCTTTGCTTCACTTTAACACACTATAAGAACAGCAAGCAGCAACATAATGTGCAGGTAAGTGTGACCGCTCAAACATTCCACATGATCTGACATGGAAATGTTCCAGCAATGGAAACCAACACGGAATATTCCTCTTCATGGAATGTGCTGCAGGGCTAAACAGAATGTAAACTGGTGGCATCTGGGCTACTGATAAAGGCGTCTGTATTGACCATATTTCCATAACTGTTTTCTCTTAGCACATTTCTCACACAAACATCCTGAGGAATATAATTTCACCTGATTCTCTCCATAATTATCAACTATGATAATGTTAACATTTGTTTGATATTATTTAAAACATTCTAGCTGCATAATGTGATTCTTAACACTATATTTGATGAAATGTCCACTGACACTTAATTGATAATGGATTTGGTATAGGAAATGCTTTTCTGTATCTAGTGACTTGCACACATCATTTACAAAACATTTCGGCTAGCTAGGATTTTCGCCTATGTGAAATGCCACGGCAAGAGCTTTTACTCTAAACCATGTGATTGTTCCAAGTCAGCAGGAAGTTTGGTGCCTGCAGGAATTTTTATCCTAGAGTCAGGGAAAAGCACATTCTGCATCCTGTGTACCAGTAAGATGAATAGCCTGCTTTACAGAACTAGCTTACATAGTAACATGGGTGCTGCTATTTGCACTGTATGTTCAGATATAGAGGTTTGTATTTCTATGAATTTACTTTTAATTATGGTTTTGCACAGGCCAAAACAGTGGAGGAGAAACGTCTCTGGACTCATCACATCAAGAAACTTATCTTAGAAAATCACCATGCTATCATACCACAGAAAGTAAGGAGATCATTTACCATTCTGACCCTAATGCTCAGTGTGTATGGGGAACATCGAAAAGTAGAAATACTCAATTAAGTGCAGCTAATCCAATTTAGTTGTGACTTTTTAATGGGGTTCAAATTCTAATTAAATACATTTTGTTTTGTTTTTTAGGCCAAAGAAGCAATTCTAGAGATGGATGCATGTAAGTGTGCAGATATAATGTTTAACCAATATTCTTGATTTATTATGCCTATGTTGTCTATTCTTTTATTAGTATTCTTTTATATAGCTTAAATAATAGATCTTGGAAATGTGGAAAGGGATTTCTACTTACAGAGAACTTAGCATGGAGGTGTGCTCCTTCTTTACAGAAAACATAGCATAGAGGCGTGCTACTTCTTTACAGAGAAGAGATCATAGAGGTGTGCTCCTCCTTTACAGAGAGCATAGCATAGAAGTGTGCTCCTCCTTTACAGAGAGCATGGCATAGAAGTATGCTCCTCCTTTGCAGAAAACATAGCATAGAAGTGTACTCCTTCTTTGCAGAAAACATAGCAGAAGATGTGCTCCTCCTTTACAGAGAACATAGCATGGAGGTGTACTCCTCCTTTACAGAGAGCATGGCATGGAGGTGTACTCCTCCTTTACAGAGAGCATGGCATAGAGGTGTGCTCCTCCTTTACAGAGAGCATGGCATAGAGGTGTGCTGCTCCTTTACAGAGAGCATGGCATAGAGGTGTGCTCCTCCTTTACAGAGAACATGGCATAGAGGTGTGCTCCACCTTTGCAGAGAGCATGGCATAGAGGTGGGCTGCTCCTTTACAGAGAGCATGGCATAGAGGTGTGCTCCTCCTTTACAGAGAGCATAGCATAGAAGTGTGCTCCTCCTTTGCAGAAAACATAGCATAGAAGTGTGCTCCTTCTTTGCAGAAAACATAGCAGAAAATGTGCTCCTCCTTTACAGAGAACATAATATAAAGTGTGCGCCTCCTTTACAGAGAACATGGCATAGAGGTGTGCTCCACCTTTGCAGAGAGCATGGCATAGAGGTGTGCTCCTCCTTTACAGAGAGCATAGCATAGAAGTGTGCTCCTCCTTTGCAGAAAACATAGCATAGAAGTGTGCTCCTTCTTTGCAGAAAACATAGCAGAAAATGTGCTCCTCCTTTACAGAGAACATAATATAAAGTGTGCGCCTCCTTTACAGAGAACATAGCATGGAGGTGTACTCCTCCTTTACAGAGAGCATGGCATGGAGGTGTACTCCTCCTTTGCAGAGAGCATGGCATAGAGGTGTGCTCCTCCTTTGCGGAGAGCATGGCATAGAGGTGTGCTCCTCCTTTGCAGAGAGCATGGCATAGAGGTGTGCTCCTCCTTTGCGGAGAGCATGGCATAGAGGTGTGCTCCTGCTTTGCAGAGAGCATGGCATAGAGGTGTGCTCCTCCTTTGCAGAGAGCATGGCATAGAGGTGTGCTCCTCCTTTTCAGAGAGCATGGCAGAGAGCATGGCATAGAGGTGTGCTCCTCCTTTGCAGAGAGCATGGCATAGAGGTGTGTTCCTCCTTTACAGAGAAGATAATATAGAGGTGTGCTCCTCCTTTACCGCTGAGCAGAACCATGATATAGTAGCTCACCCATTTCATCTTGTTTCTAGATCCTGGACGTTACAAATACAGTCCGGAAAGAATAAAGAAAACAATGTCTACAATTGACCCTGCGGTTGCGCTGCGGTCGGGGCGCAGACAGTCAGGTATAATAATAAAATGAAACATTTTTTGTTGTACGTCTCAGTGTAAAGCTGCCAATATTTCTGGCATTGGGATGTGAAACAAGATTGCCCCCTGTCCAAATAATAGCATTTTGATTTATTTTTTTTTAAACTGTATTGGTGATTTGGAGTTTGTAGAGTAAGAAACGCACAGAAATCCATCAAATCACCTTTTATTATTTCAATATGTGCAATTTGCTTTGTGTCTTGGGCCATATATTGTATGCATATACCAAATAAATGTTGATGTTATATTTAATGATTTGAAAGCTTGCTCTATCCTTATACTGCCTCTATGTCTCTCTGATTTGAGGTTTCTTTGCGATTAACTAATGATTTCCAATGCTTTTATCATTTTTGCTTTTTCTTTAGTTTTTCTGACCAAGCGGCAGTGTCCACATGCATTCTAATGTCCTTTTTAGGTTAGCGATTTGTGGCTCCAAAGATTAAACCCCTGTTACTGCATGTCCATTCTCCATTGTTCCTTCTCCATTTATCTGCATTTATTAATTTCATCTGCCATGCAGCCCACAGGTCTTCTTCTTTATGCTGCATAGCATGTTTTATCCAGAGAACATAATTTATTGTGTCATCCCCAAACAGAAATAAATGCAATTGCTTTATTATATGAATACGTGGCCAACAAGAATAAAAGAAGAACAATAATAACAATGTTCCTTAAAGGTGCTGCTTATTTCAGTCACATCAAGGCTTTTGACTTTTTCGGCTGCCACATCTGAAGATACTCAGCCTGAATTTAGCACATTAAATATCTATAAAATGTCAATATAAATATTGACATCTTACAGGATTGAAAAACCTGATTAGGTATACAAAAATGTTTGACACTACCTTTCTCTAGTTTAGATTTAGTTACTCATTTTATACCCCAGTAGGGAATATACTCTTGGTCTGCTTGGTAAACTTCTATTCCCTTTTATTACATTTGGTGTTTTAATAACTTTCTTCCTGCTGATGAAATCAAATGCTTGAACACAACTATGTGCAGCAAGCATGGAGCCCCTCTTACATAGTTGGTGTCTCCTTTACTAACTGCGCTCGAGGCTGGGAGACTGGTGTTGGGTAGAAATGAATGAACATCCTAACGAGTTGTCTATCCCATCCCCAGATCCGAACCACTCTAGATACATCCCTGGAAATGTTAAGGAGGGAAGCGCACACACCGCTGATAAAGGCCGCAGAAAGTCTGGTGCGAGATTTTTGTTTATAATGGTGAAGCCTTAAAAAAGACGCAGATTTAGAGTAAAAATGAACAATAAGAATTCTAGCCGGCACTGTTTCACATCTGCACAGTGTCTGTAGAGGTAGCTAGCTGAGGCCAGCTAAATACTCTGTCATTGTCCTTCAACTAACACACCTAACAACCAACATTTCTAGCAGAAAGGATTGCCAATAGAGTAACATAGACTTAGATAATAAACTAATTACTGACAATAAAAGACACTATGTGCCAATAAATATGAATACTACCAGTTGCTTTCTAACATTGTTTTCATGTCATATGTTTGGTGTAGTTTAACAATAAATTGAAGAGTCATCACAGTGTACTAATGTATATTAATGGTTTGTGATTCTTTTTTATTTAGAGCCATCAAAGCACATTCTGAAGCAGCTGGGTGAGAAAGGTATGAGCTGTTTGTTCCATTTTTCACTGAACGCGGTTACAGTTTTCACTTAATGAGTGTCTGGCACTGATGCTTTATTTCTTGCACCATTATAGAATAAGGACACGTCTTCAGAAATGAATGTGTTGTTAGGAAGCTCATTGTTGCAATTATATTATCTACTAAAATGTGATTCCTGATCACAGTACAGTAAGGTCAGGAAATGCCTACATGTCCTCACTCTGGATAGGTTGTGGGCTTAACAAAAGAAGTCAATTAAAGGTTGCAGAGATTTATAATATGGTAGCCACAAACATTTGCACACATTTTCTGCGGCTAATTACTATTTTGGGTCTTGCAAATTATTTCAGTTGCGGTCTATGTAAAAATGCCATTTTAACTTTTTTCTAAAAAGTAATAGAACATTTGTGTAAATTTTTGTTTACCATTAACAATAAAAACTATTGAACAGAAAAAGTAATAGAAAAGACATAAAGTAGTGGACCTTAGTTTCCTTAAGCAGAACCCTGGGCAAAATTTGTATTAACCTTTTGTAGTAGGGCTACCCTTTCACTGCAAGGGTTAACTGCTCATTTTTGTCTAGGGGATAAAATAAAAATGTTATACTCACCGATCCTCTGAGCCGGCTTGCCCTTAGATCGGTCCTTCCAGCCTCGCTCCCACTCTGCTGAAGCGGTCTAAAGATCCTCAAGGCATCACATTCTATGTACAGGGTATTGGACATGAGGATGTTGAGGGACATACCATCACTGCAGAGTAGGAGAGAGAGAGGCTGGAGGGAGCGCTGTGACAGCCAGCCATTTCTGAGGTTTGGGTAAGTATAGCTTATTATTTTAGTCTCTAGATGAAACCGAGCAGTTAACCCTGGCAGTGCGGGGGTAGCCCCATGGCAAGGCTAATTAAAACATTTTCCCGGATTTCTTCAAAATGTAAAGTCTTATCAGAGGGAAGACTGCTCACAGAAAAATGGGGGCTGTCGCTGTTTACCGTCTCAATATGCTAGTTGCCTGACTGTCACACTGATCCAAAGACTTCAGTACTTTTTGTGTCACTAACCCAGAGCAAGTAAAGGCAGAGTAACATCAGAACTCTCCTGTTTCTGTATACTTGTTCCATGTCAGTGACTCAAAGTATGGAACCCAGGCAAAGTTGTAATGTCTGCTTCACTATTTTCCCTCACATACAGATTTCCCTGAAAATTAATAATTTAATATGTATATTGATATCTCATTTTCTTATAGATTTTTTAAAATAAAGGTTTGCATGGTTGTCTATTGCATACGCACGCTGTGCTTCCTGGGCAAGATTCAGGGCACAATGATGGCTGTTTGTGAAATGTGATCATGACAATCAGACTTAGGCCTCATTCACATGAGAAAAGGCCGGCACCTACAGCTTCGTACTGCGTGCACAGCCATATCGGGCAGCTCCAGGGAAGGACAGATGCTGCGTGTGATTAGTACGCAGCCCCTGTCCTTCTCTATGGGAGTACACGGCCATACGCTGCCCTATGCTCAGCCCAAGTGCAGGTCTGTACGGGTGCGGGTGTCCTGGCTTGGACGCAGACAGGATCCATCCTGTCAGTGTACGAGTACGGGCACCCGCACGGACATGCAGGGCGGGTAAGCGTAGGGTGGCGTACGGCCGCATACTCCAATAGAGGAGGACAAGGGCTTCGTACTAATCACACGCCGCACCTGTCCTTCCCAGGAGTGGCCCGATACGGCCACGCGCGGAGTTGTGCTTGCCGGCCTTTTCTCGTGTGAGTGAGGCCTTAGGCAAAAAAGACTAAAAACATATCTTTAAAACAATCGTATATAAATATACAAAATAAAAAAGTGACTGTGTTAATGAGTATTTCCATAGTGGAAATGGTAAGCTTTGAAGGCACAAGGCCCCATTTGTCTTGTTGATGACATCAATTTCAATGAGTGGTCAGATACTTTTTATTCTCCTGACCAAAAGGTAATACATTATTCAAAATTGACACTGTGTTCCATGTTGTAACTGTACTGTGCAGTAGGATTTACTATCACAATTGTAATTAATTCTTTTTATCTGTTTTCTTTTGTTCCCTTTGGATCGGCAGTGGGCTTGAAGGTAAGCTGTTCTGTATAAACCAGCACTGCATGTCTTTTCCTTGCATAAATGTGTGCGTGTGTGTGTACACAGAGCAAAGTTATGTGACCTTTAGTAGGACAATTCATCATTTGTATGCTTGATGGTGGGCTATTTACATAAAGTTGATATTACAGATGAATGGGAGGAATTGTCTCTAGCTTCAGGCTGTGCATGACAAGCTAGCCATGCTCTGTGTGATTTTTTTTTTCCACCTTGCAGATGTTGAGTGTCACGTGCCCATCATTGCATGGAGCTGAATTCATTCTACTCTGTCTAAGTGCTATACTGTTAAGTCAACTCAGTATCTGTTTGTTGTGCAAACACCACTATGTCTCACTGCAGTATGTTCCATTCATTATTTGTTTGCTCATTCTTGGGGAATCATACTGACTTGACCAGGCAAGTGAAAAATGGTCAACACCCTTCTCAGTACAAATCCTAAATGCCATTCACCCTTCTTAAGATTTTTTTTTGAGAATCTTCAACGTACTATCTCATTATCTTCTCCTGTTCTTTATATTTTACCTATATGAACAGCGTTACACTATACAAAGTGTGTGCAGTATAAGTGCAGTGAGTCATCACCCCCCTCTAGTGTTCAGATATGGCACTACACCATTTTATCCAACATGATCCCTTTGCCTGCCATGAGTATCTGCTCTATTCAGTGGATCCTAGGCAATAATGGGGAAAAATCTTGATTGGCAGAGAAAAATTTAACACTGAACCTTTTCCTACCTGCTGGAAATAATTGCAGTGCGTTATGATACAATGATTCAAATAACAAGATTGTTGCACAAACACATTCATAAAACTATAAACCCTGAAGACAAATATTATACAAAATTCCTTAACACTCCACTAGCCATCATAAGAGACTCATTTAAACCTGTTTCTGCGGTTACATTTTATATGAGGGATCCTCTGTAAGTTGTAGTCATACTCTTATCTGTTGGAGAACTTCTAATGGAACATATATAGAAATAGGGATGTTCAGATACCAATGCCGATACTTGGCATTTTCACGAGAACTACCAGGGTGGCAGCTAGGACCTGACTCTGGCGCTCCACCACTGTCCTGAAATCATTACTCTGTGAGTACTTGGACAAGTATAAGTACTTGTACTTGGAAAAAATGGTATCGGTGCATCCCTTATATATGTTTATAAAAACAAAATCATACATTAAAACAGGAATGCACAAATCTCAGGAGCTCAGTGTTCTCCTTAAAAATGTCAGCTGCCTCCTAACTTTTGAATTTTTCTCTACTCTAGCTTGGGAGCTGGAAAAGTATCTGTACTTGTACCGAGTACGTACTTGGTATCTGAACATCCCTATATAGAACAATGAGAGGCTTCAGAGCATACTTACCTGCCAGTTATCACTTTCCTCTGAAAGTGAACCTGTGAGAGTTATATTAAACAGCAGCAGGATCATAAGCTGCCAGAGCATATAACTTGCCTTCCAATTTGTCCCTACAGCACCACTCAAGGCCTCCTGCAGTTGATCTACAAATAGCAGTTTTACAATATTATCTATTTGCATATATTGCTGAAGAGTTTTAGGAGTTATGACACGGTATCAACTTCAGCAGGAGGGAATATTTCAGATTTTGCTTTGTGATGGCATTGTGGTGTCATGATTGTGATATCATGACAGTCTTGAGTGTTTACATTTATTTTAACCACCTTTAAGCTCACATAAAAACACTAAAGTAACCTTAAACTCAGGAGTGAAATCTTATAAAATGCATTCAAGTACCCAAACAACACACACTGGGTACTTTTGTTCCCCATGGTCCCTGTGTGTGTTGTAAAGTAGCCAACTCTCCAAGCTCACTCCCAGGATGGACTACAATCTCACGTTTAGTTTAACGATTTGTATTGACGTTCTAGTCCATCACAGGAGCAAGTTTGGAGCGGTGACTACTTTACAACACACACAGGGACCATGGGGAACAAAAGTAGCCCCCCTCCAGAAGGAAGGACAGTGTCTGTATGAATACAGAGATGATTTGAGGATCTACAGCCGAGCGATACACAAATAAGATAAATTTTTGTTAATAGTTAAAAAAAACTTAAATACATTTTGAGATTGAGTTTACTGTCACGTTAAGATAAGCAATCTGCAGTTACAGTTCCCATTGTAGCAACGACATTTTATCCTAATAAAGGGATTGACCGTCTGAGCTCTACAGATAAGATACTTTAGAAGTTCTGGTGTGATTAATCACAAAATTCATTAACTTTATCAATCGCTGTTAAGGAAAGTGGTGATAATGTTTTTTTGGTTCATAGAAAGTCTATTGTCTCCTCTTCAAAACACCAGTACCCCCTTTGGGTGCTATTCCTGGTTTTACCTATAAGTGGCTAATGAAAGAAAAGTGTTTTGGTGTTGCATCTGGTGCATGGTATTGCACACTCTCTAAAAGTAAGCACAAAGCTTAATGAGTCGTTGGAGTGTCTCCGTCCTAGCCCCACGCCTCTTCTACCTGCTCTATTCATATGGGTCCTATGGAGATTTAATTTAGCAGTCACAAAGGATTGGCTATTGCAGGACTGTATCAGAAGAGCAGGGTGGAATATTTATTTTTACTGAGATCCATGTCCCTATGTATGTCATTCTATAACAGTTACCTTACCGTTGTCTTATCACATCTACAAGTTGGGTACAAGCAAAAAACAACCTGATGTTAAATATTGTCCATACTATGACCAAAATCCGTAAAGATTGGAGGCTGCAGGCTGTGTTGAATTTCCCAGATTTATGTCATGGTATATTTAGGTGAAAAAAAGATGTATCTGCACCCAGGTGGAGAAACCTAGTCCCTGAATGTAGACTACACCTGATTGAAATATAAAAGGATTCCTTGTTTGTTCAGCATGCAGGAAGCGATGGAGCACTACTGGAATTTGAGGATATCCTTCAACCCAGTAATGACAATCTGACACGCACCTATGAACAGCCACAGGCAGAGGGAGATGAGGAGCAACCTGCCAGCACAGAGCTGAGTAGAGGTTCAGGGGCAGAACTCAGTGCCTCTGATGAAGAAAATGAGGAGGAAATACAGTTGGGAGATGATGAGCAGGTAGCTGATTTTGCCAGCTCCCTACTGGCAGTCATTCATTGCTGGCGCTATAGGGCCAAGACTTTGCTTGATACGTGGGGCGCGCCTACGGTGAGGGTCTTTCAATTTCCTTTCTCTTTAATTGCGTAGGTGCCACTTCTAATCCTAGTCATTTAACTCTTCCATTGGTGACTGCTGTATAAGTAACGCTTGTCATTAATAAACATGCATGGCTTTTTGGACAAATAGCACAATCATCCATATTTAGGTTGAGTGAAAATTTTGAAATACATTTTTGTGTTCCATTAATTTGGCTTAATTGTCAGCTAACTGCATGGACTTCTAACAGGCATGATGTTTACAGAATTCTGCTGTTGATAAAGTGTCTAGTTGTGGTGTATTCTAGGAACATGTCCTTGTCTTGTATATCTGTATGTATTTAAACAATAGCTTGTATGGGAACTTGTTTCCTTATATAAAGTGGAACTCTAGCTTAAACATTTATATATACTTACACTGGTCCATACAAGGTGTTTTCTGGAAAAGGGGAGGTGCCTGCCGAGACATCACAGCTCCTTGTAGAATTAATTCATTGAGAAAATGAATGGCTGCCATGCTGACCACGCGACCTGTTGTGTTCTGACAGCACATGTTCCTGGACCCGGAGGATGCTGCAATACACTGTAGTGTAGTGTATCCCTGTCAGGGGTCATTTATATATATTTACAATGTGCCAAGCTGGACCAAAGTAAGTCTATACATTTTTAAAGCTGGAGTTCAGTTCAATTTCTAGAGTTGGGTAATCCATAAATCTTGGAACGTCAAAGTTTTCTTTTCAAGCTGGCTTCCTTTTACTGCAATTGTTATATATTCACCATTCCACTCCACATTTTAAGTGCATCTAAACTCAAAAACAAATATTCAATATATTGCAGCTTACCAGTGGCTGCATTATTGTTCTTTTTCCAGTTTTTTCCCCCTTTAATTACACCTATTCTGTGAATAGCACACTTCATGTCCCTGGTGACTACACTCACTCCACTGTATCTATGAAGGGAGCCATGGTCCTCACCCAGGCTGGACTACAACCATGTCTGCCTTTGTTCATTTCCATTGCATGGAGAATGGGGAGATAAGTAGTTTACAGAAGAAAAATAACATTGCTTGTACTTCCATTCCAGCTTACAGAAGTTATAAGGACACTGCATTCCTTGGCAAGATCAACAGGCATTTTCTGTACTTGCTGAAACTAGCCTCAAAAATGGATAATGCAGCCATCCCATCTAAGGACTGTTAAACTTCAATATATTACATTTGTATTGTTAGTTTTAGTTCTCCTTTAATCCTGTTTTTCCCAGAATGCACCCAAGACCTAACATCTAAATCTTATGTTTCCCTTACCTTGGATTCTTGTAAGTGAAGAGTTTGTGCAGGTCAGCTTTGGACATGGAATGGCTAGTCGCAGCATGTCATTATGTTTTGTTTGCTTTCTAGAACAGAGAACATGTGCCGCATGAGACATTTAAAGGATTTAAAAGACAGAATAGTCAATCCTCCTCTGGGAACCCGGAGAAGAGGCGTAGCATGGAGGTCACTGGATTTAACGCGGAAGTGAGTGAATATTGGTATACTTTGGTTACCTAGTTAGCATTAACATGCAGCTTCATTTTCTAACAAAGTTATTATGTTATATATAAGCTATTTGTTTAAAATGTTTTAATGGCACAGGTGACAGATACGGTTGTGCACGGAGCTGTACGTGTCAGACATTTCTCGTGTGAATGAGGCCTAAATGAACTCCAAAAATAGGCTTTTTGGAAGTCAGAAATCCTGATTTTCTTGGAGTTCATTGAGGGACAGAAACCCTACCTCTCTGTTATTTTGTTGGCCCTGTGTATTTCTTTCTTACAAAACGGAAGCATGCTGGGTAAGAGGAGGGGTTATATGGGAGCTGGCTTACAACCTTTCTATTTGGCAGTGTCCCAAATTCATGAACTTGGCAGTATAACTGACTGACTGTTTCTGTTTTCCTGTCCCTCAATGAAAAAAGTTTACAGTAACTACCGAAATCGTATTTCTTCTTATGTCTACCATGCAGTGGAACAGCTTACTTTGGACCTCAGGTGACCTGCTTTATTGTATGCAAAGTTAACAAGGGCCACCAAACCAACAAAGATTAATTCTTATTTATAGGGATGCACCGATGCAGGTTTTTCAGTTACAAGTAGCGATATTCTTTTTTCCGGTGCTCTCTAATACCAGAAGTTCCATTTTAAGGAAGCCAGGCGGCGTGTAAAGACTCACCACCCAGCTTCCCGATTAGCAGGGAAGCCGTCTCTATGCTCCCTCGTCACCAGGTGACGAGAAAACATGGAGTCGGCTTTCTGGCCATTTAGTAAGCTGTGCGCCGTGTAATGACTTGCTGCCCAGCTTCCTGATACTGGATGCTCAGGTATCGGGCTAGGCATCGGCGCATTTGGACGAGTACTTCAAAAAATACTAGGCATCGGCACCAATACTAGTCTCAGTATCGGAGCATCCCTACTTATTTACAATAAAACATTTGCTTTTCCATCCTTGGTCTTTATTTTATCATATCACCGTGTTGAGGTTATTGGTTGCCTTGGCATTGTATCTGTACAAAATGTCCTCTTTCCTGTGCATACAACCTAATTCAATTAGGTGTTTTATAACCATCTTTTTTTTTTTCAGGTTTTGGAAGAAATGGAAAAGGACAATTCTGAACCTGTTGCTCATTTGGTTAACTCTTCTGAAATTCCATTAGAAGCTCCTCTTGAACCTTCTAAAGAAACTGAGACAGTTGAGGAAGATAGGGAAACTGATTCTGATACCCATGACCCTCTGGATAATGGGGCAACTGAGAATGCAGAAGATTCAAAGACGTTTAGTAGTGAGGAAGATGAAGAAGAAGCAGTAGTGCATGAGACAACTAGCATCCTTCCCCCATCTGTATTGGATCAAGCCAGTGTGATTGCAGAGAGGTTTGTAAACAGCTTCTCTAGAAGGAGCAGCTTGGCTCTGGAGGATGGTAAAGTCATTGGTTGTACAACCCCCAAGCTAACTAGCAGGAGCAGCAGTCTAATAAACCTGAATTGTACAGAAAAGACCCCTTATCCTAATGGGAACTCTGATTTTCCAGATTCCCACATAGATGTAAATGGTGATATTGATGATACAAACACAGAGACTATGCTCATGAAGGTTAATTCCATGGAGAATGTGTTTGAGGAAAAAGAGAGATCTACATATAAACGAAGAGAGTCCATTCTCTCCTCCCAAGACAGGGAACTCATTGAAAAGATTAAAACTTATTATGACAAGGCAGAGCATCAAGATGCATCTTTTAGTATCAAGCGTAGAGAAAGTTTGAGTTATATTCCTACGGGACTGGTTAGAAACTCTATCTTTATGATCAATAGTCTCCCAAGACATGAAATCATCCAGGGTAATCACACTGGGCAAAGAATGGAAAGCAATTCCAGTAATTCAAAGGTTGGAAATAGCAGGCCAGTCTCATTTGAGGATACTTCCACTCTCATCAATGAAAGGGACACTAACTGGTTCACACAACATACAGGTCCAGCACTTAAGAACAGCATCTCAGAACAACCCGTACCAATCTCTGATGAAGAATTTCAATCCCCAACAGAAATGGTTAAAGTGTGGGAAGAAATTGAAAAGCGGGGTAGCTGGAATAAGAAAGATGCTCATGAATTAAGAAAAGACCAAAAAGCAACATTAGATATCTATGAAGACACGACTGAGACTGATGTTGAATCTAATGAACCCCTGATAATAGTTGAGGAGAGTGATCTGAGTACCATTACAGAAGAATCCCAAACATCTACACCAGAGGGCACAAACACTGAACACCTTATTGATCCTACCAACCATACAGACTTCAGTGATCAGGATTACAAGACTCCAGTCAGGCTTCATCCCACAATTCTGGAGCTTGCAAACTGTATGGATGAAGATCTCACAGAGAAAATGAAGAATAAGGTGTATCAGTTAGCCAGACAGTACAGCCAAAGAATTAAGTGCAATAAGCCGGTTCCGCACAGACGTCTGAGAGAGATAGAGGAGGACATTAGGAGGGGAAGCTTGCCGTCTGTACAGGAGGAGAAAGCGGAAGAGAAATGTGAGTACTGGGCTTGTGTACATGCCCTAAACTTGTACAGCTCTATTTTATTTCAATTATGTTAAAACATTGTTACTGTCTGAAAGAAGAGAACAAGGAAAAAAAATGTATGCACCCAAAGGAAAAACAACAATTAGTTAAAATATGTACCGTATTTGCCGGCGTATAAGATGACTTTTTATACTTCAAAACATTCCCCGAAAATCGTGGGTCGTCTTATACGCCGGGTATACAAAACGTCCCAAATTAGTCAGCCCGCTGGATGTGCGGTAATACTGTATGTACGGTAGCTTCGGCTACATACAGTATACCGCGCTGAGCCATCAAGTTTTAACTGAAAACTTAGGGGGTCGTCTTATATGCCGGCAAATATGTTAGTCATTAACAAAATCCTTTAAAATGTGAGTTGTGTTATATATACACAAATGGGGATTAAGAAACCTTATTACCTTTTTAAGGATTCTTTACTTGTATTACCTGTGTTCTAACTCTCTGCCTAAGAGAGAATACTTGGCTGTCAGCTATATTGACTTCTCCACATCAACCTAACTTGGGCGTATTTGCTTCTAACTGGAACTTATAGAAGCAAGTACACCCAGTCATGTGTTAAACCAATATGGCTTCCTATACGTTTGTCCAATAGTCTGAGCGCCGCTGTACACTTCATAGAGTGAGGATGTATACCACTAGCTTTATGTCTCACACTGTTCATAATCATAATAATTGTAGCATACTTTTACATTACAGTGGGAAAGCATTTGTATTTTATTTATTTTTTAAACAAACAGTTGAGCCTTCTCTGGCCCCTGCAGTAATAGTTTACTGCTCTTGTAGATTCCCATATAGGATTATTTTTTACAGTGTTGGTAAAGCATTAGAAAGATGAACAAACCACAAAACTTGATTCATTTTTCACACTACGTAATCAAAAAGCCAACACCTTTCACGGGTTAGAACTTCCCATTCATGAGGGCTTGTGTGCTGGAAGTAAATTCAGATTTAAACAGGGCTATAATGGCAAATTGATGTGGAAAGCATGAGATCTGGGTTGCCACCTGACCGCTTCAGTTGTCTGTTAGTGGTCCAGTTTAAATCTGAATTTACTGCCAGGACACAAGCCCTGATTAAGGGGAAGCTCTAAGCTGCTGAAACACATTGGCTTTTTGATTACATATTGGGAAAAATAAAACTTTCTACTGGACTGAATTAAGCTCTGTGGTACACTAATCTTTCTAATGAAGATCACTCCAGGGACAGGGAATAGGCTTTTAGAGTAAGTTTTTTGTAATATAGTGCACTGAGAAGGTGTAAAGCTCTATATACAATTATATTGAAGGGATATGCCAAGGGTACTTGGTATAAGCAGAGCTAGGCCAGTATGTCAGAGAATTGCAGCAACCCATGTCAAACAGGCTGAATGCTCAAGCTCCTGACTGGTGGAGTGGAAGCGATATAAAGTACCTAGAGCATGTGGTCAATTCATGCCAAAGGTCCAAAGACTGCTTTCTAGCTGCTTGAACCTCATACATTCAGATCAGGTAGATAAGCAGGATCCAGACAACCACTTTCATATAAATCTGCAGTTCTGTACAAGGGAGGGCCAATGGCTCCAAGAATCAGTGTATGCAAGTGATGAAAAATGGCAACCTCTGCTTGCAGTCTACCTTTGTCCTGGCATATTGACTGATGGATCTGCAATAAAATTCATATTTCTGTTTCATTCATATATTCCAAGTGGTTGTTTTCTTTCTCTTGCCATCTGTGTTTCAGCAACCAATGCTCTGCAGAGTGTTTTTTTTAAACTTGGTATTTAATATGTATATTGCATTTTTCTATATTTTAGGTAAGCTGAAGCCTGCATTGACCCTTCCTACCTATGACCACATTGTACTGCAAGAGCACAGCCCAAAAACTCCCACATCTGCTTCTTTCAGTGAGAAATCCCCCAAACGTTTATCATTTACCTCAGACAGCCCCCGGACATCTTCTCCTGTAAGATCTGACTGCAGAAGCCCCCTGAGTCCAGTGAAGACAGAAAAGTTTCACTGGCCAGATGTCCGAGAGCTGAGATCAAGGTATGCCAGTACCAAAGGGAGCAACAAATCCCTTCCAGTGAACAGGAGCCACTCTGTCCCTGACAGAATGATGGAGCGCGATGTGGACAATCCATCAGACCAAAATAAAGAGCTGATGAGCCATTCCTGCAGCATGAATATGAAACACTTTAACGTTGTGAATGGTATAGCCGATGAAGTAAACACTTTATGCAAAGTAGCAGCTGATCGTCCCAACATAAGTGGAAGACCTACGTCCCGGAAGAACAGCAGGAACTCTGGGCAAACTACAGCTGATTGTTACTACATCAGTGCAGAGGCTCCTCTGGAAAACAACAAAAAAGTCATAGTTATGGAGAAGCTTCCAACCAATTCTTCTTATGAACTGGAAAACGATGACACCTATGTCCATATAAGATCACCTACCACACGAGAAAAAATCTCACTGAAAGCAGTGGTTGAACGTTGCAAGGCGTACCAGGAGTCTGATGAGTACAAGGCTAGGGAAGAACTTTCAAGGGCCAATGGTTGTCTAGACTCTACAATTGAACAGTCAAAACCAGAGGCACGAACTGCAGCAAGCAGCGATGTGGCCCAAAAAAGCAGAGTCAAAAATCTGAGAGAGAAATTCCAGATCTGAATCACCGCAAAACACTCGGAGAATCCAAAGCCTTTTTTCATCAGATCGTTTTTTATATAAGAGTTCAAAGAAGGCTTTCTTGGGGAAAGACATGGTTTAAGCCATGCTTTTCAGTGACCACTAAAAACTGACTTGCATAGATGAACTGTTTAAACATATTTATATTCTGAACGCAGTGTTTTTCCTGTATATAATGCATTTTAACTGTTCTTGTTATACTGTGACTGGTGTATATTTGGTTTCAATACAGGACAGTAGATGGATTCTTGAAATAACTTTTTTATATTTATCCCATTGCTTTCCAATGATGGAAACTGGAGCATTTGACATATGTAAAGATAACTCTGAGTTCTTCATGAAACCCTCATACTTCATTCCCTGTAATTGCACAATATTTAGAGACCTCCACCAGCACACTGCGAGTTTTGTCAGCCTAGTTCAGGACTACCTCCAGTCTTTGAGGGCCGCATATAAACAGGGGTTTGAGGCACACAATAGTTTTGCTTTGCGAGTTCCACTTCACATAACTCCATAATTATATGTCAATTATAGAAATCCTAAAACTATGTGAGACACATCAGGTCCTTTAATGATTGGAGTTGTGCAACCGTGTCTAGATAATCAAGGCTTGTGTCACCACCTACACTGACAAGTCTTGAAGATAATGTAAACCTATATTTCTATGTTATTTATTTGCCATCTTTATATATTGTCGTCCATTGGATATACCTGCCTGTAATTATATCTCTGTAATGTGCATTCAAATCAGTTTATAAAGCTCTTTGCTTAAAAAATATTGCAGACTGACCACACATTCATTGGCATGCATGCAAGAATTGTGCTCCAAAACAGAGAACATTTTATAAGATCACTTTCTGACAACTGGTAATGTTAGATGGCAGGGGAGTGTTTATAATCCTTTCTATCGGTTGTATTTATATCAATGGGCATTAACATTTCAGAAACCAATCTGACTGTAACACGTGTATAATCTCCTTTTTAAATTCACCAAAACGGTCAGGACCTAGCTAAAATATTAAATTTGTATCCAGTTAGACAAGCCTTTAAACTACTTCTCTAAAGGAGATGGTACAGTCAGATTGTAATGTGTGGGGGGAGCTTTAACCAAGTGAGAACGTGTTACATAGTTACATAGTATTTGGGGTTGAATAAAGACATACGTCCATCAAGTCCAACCCATATAGGTCCACGCATCATCTCATTCTTAGGGATACTGGTATCCCTGGATATTACGGTCCCTCAAGAAATTGTCCAAACGTTTCTTGAACAAATCTACACTCTTGGCTGAAATCACTGCCGATGGCAGTGAGTTCCAGACCTTAACCGCTCTTGCTGTAAAGAACCCTCTTCGCCCATTGTGCTGGAATTTTTTCTCCACCAACTTTAGGTGATGGCCAACTTCAGTATCGGTGTTACAAATCAGGAGTTAAAATTGCAGTAGGCTAAATCCATGTTCTTTTAATGCATGAAATATGTGCTTCAGATGAGCCAAGTAATATCACAAATGAAGTTTATTGTACAAAACGGTACTTAATAGTGATGCACCGATACTAGTATCAGTATAGGTGCCGATACCGAGTATTTGGGGAAGTAGTCGTACTCTCCCAAATGCCCCTATAGCTTCCCTGATACCGGGAGAGGGAGATTTCCTCTGACCGGCAGTGCCGTGAGGGAACATGGAGCCGGCTTCCCAGCCAATCAGAAAGCCGAGCGGTGGGTAATGACTCGCCGACTGGTTTCCTGATTGGCTGGGAAGGTGGCTCAAGGCTGATTGGCTGGGAAGCCGGCTTCCGGGACAATGAGCATCGAGCCCTGCCAAAAAGCATGGAGCCAGCTTCCCTGGCAATCAAGTCGGGCGACGGGTAATGACACGCCGCCCGGCTTCCTGATTGCCCGGGAAGCTGGCTCCATGCTAGCGGAAGTATCGGTATCTGTACTCGGTATCGGCGAGTACCGAAAAATAAATATCTATATTCGAGCTCAGTACCATATATACCAGTATGTGTGCATCCCTAGTATTTAATGAAATCTTGTTTTCATGCAGGACGTCTACACATAGCTGGATAGTTAAATCAAAACTTAAACAGCTTTTGCTACAATATTCACCTTCATTCCAGAGATTTTGCCGCAGTACTTTATACTTTAGCTAGATGGCCTCAGTCTGATGGCCAGCATTATTCAACCCACTACCTCTGATCCCAAGTCATCCTGGACCCACCCCAGCCTATAAATAGACAGTGAAAGGTGAAGCAGTACAGTAATGAGCTCATGTTTCTGTCACTCTGCTTTCTCCTTCTATCAGTAGGCTTCTTGTCAGAAAATGAAATGGCTCTTTTTGTTGCTTCTTCCTCTTACACACCAGCCCTGCTGTACAGGGATGCCAAGAGGCTGATATCAGGTCCTATTCAGGTACTTGCACTGCTTGCATTAAGAAAAAATATTTAATGCTGCATTGATGATTACAGAGTTGCATTCATTTGTGTCTGTTGTATCTGCCTGGAGTTCAGCCTTAAAGAAAACCTGTCGTCATAGGAGAAATATGAAAGATACCACTGGCCATTTTCTGAAAATACTAGTTGCTCCAGTTCTGAATCACTAGCCTACAACAAGTATGCAGATTGGGAGAGTCAATGAAAGGTTCTTATCCTTATACCTATTTCAATTGAGTGACTCTAAAGTATGAAAGCAAGATAGATAATATGATGGCCAGACACAGCGGGGGGAATTTATCAAAACTGGAGCAGAAAAAATCTGGGGCAGCTGTGCATGGCCCAAATCAGCTTCTCTCTTCTGTTTGTTCAGTTAAGATTTGAAAATAAAAGAGAGATGCTGATTGGTTGCCCTGGGCAACTGCTCCAGATTTTGTCTGCTCTAGTTTTGATAAATTCCCTTCATTGCATTTAAAAAAAGAAAACTCTGTAGTGGCAGTCTGCATGTTTTTCTTGTGACCGGTTACCTTTGAAGAAGCTGTACTTACATAAGTAACTCCCTTTTACAAAGCAAATACTCTGTCCTAAAAGTGTTTCAGAAGGATGAAAGTGTGCTTCATGGGCTATATCCTAAAATCCGATAATAGTTAGCAGCTTGTTATAATGTAGATTTGCACTTCAGCCACTACGTGGTGAGATCAAATGTGCAAGTTTCCCTAAAAGTTCTTCTGAATATTGCAAAACCGTTGTGGCTTTGCAGGTTAAACGGAGTTCCTGCTTAAAGGTAAAATCCAGACAGAAATGAAAATGCTGCATGTATGCCAACTTAGAGGATTACAGTCTATAAATCAGGGATAGGCAACTTCAGCTCTCCAATTGTTGTGGAACTACAAATCCCATGAGGCTGGCAGCCACAGGCATGATTCCCAGAGGGATCAGCATACCCTGATCTATGTCTTTCTTATCCTAAAACCTCTTTCTCTTCTGCTTCACAGACTCAAGATGGAGGGTATACCAGTGATCCTCATTTTTCTAGACTAGCCCAGGCAGATGTGATATGCTGGCCTGGTAAGGTAATTTGCTTCATCTGTCCCGCTTCACGGCCCCTGGCTTTAATGGCATGGTTTTTGAATCCCAGGTTCTGAGTGACAGGGGCATCTCTGTCTGTAAGTCTGATTTTCTACGATGCTTAAAGCGAGGAGGTCTAATTCTTGCAAGGTCTAACATTCAAACTTGGGACTTCCACCCCAGCAATTTCTCCATGGGATGCATTCTTTTCTTCCTGCAGTTAAGTCTTGACCAGCATCTGATTCTTTGCACTATAAAGGGTCAGGTTTCTACCCTTTGTATTCTGTTTCAGGGAACATTGACCTCTCACCGTTAACATTTTTGTACAGGGGTTTCCAATGTGGCTTTCCCTCTCCATACTTCCAAGACTGTGGGATCTGAACCGGTTTCCTTCTGCTTTTCAGAAACCAATGTTTGAACCCATCAGCGACATTTTTCTCATTACTGTCACCCACAAGGTGGTGTTTCTTGTAGCCATCACTTCTGAAAGGGGAGTATCTGTCTGAACTTGTGGCCTTATCCTGCAAACAATCCTTTTTGTTCCTGCACAGGGACAAGGTAATGTTGAGTCCTCAGATGTCAATCTTGCCTAAGTTAGTTTCTGTCTTTCACCTCAACCAGAGCATTGTTCTTCCATCCCTCTTTCTGGCTCCAGTTCACCAAAAGTAGACTTCCTTCCACTTGATATGGTTCAGGTTTTAAGAGTCTATCCCTACTTTGCTACAAAATTGAGGCAGGCATGCTGGTAGTACGAGGGGATATCCTTTGCTGGCCGGCATTTTTCTTTGCCATTGTCCAATCCTCCTGTTAGTCTTTAACCTTTGGGTTATACTGCCACTGTGTCATTGGGCTCCTCACTGAGAAGGGTGCGATATGTTAATTGCACTGTTCTGTGCGATTAACGCACCCTACCACGCAAAGCATCTGCCGTGCATTAACAGTGCGGGAGGTGTGTTGCATTACCATTCATTTGAATGGCACCCCAAACTCACCTCACGCCCGCAATGCACTAGATCGCACCACTATATGCAGTCCTGCAATACTGTGTGTTGCAGTGCAATTCAAAAAAGCAGTGCATGTGTGATCACGCCATTGCATTCTTCATAGGAATATACTGTAGAAGGAATTCATTACAAATAGGGTACACACAACTTTTATCTCATTGTAATTCCTAGTAGTCACCAGAACAAGAAGTGAGCAGAACATTCTGCAAAGTGGACACAGCAATAAAAAAACTCTTAGAACTAACCCTTCCCCACTAAAGAACCCCTTTTGGCTAGAACGCCTCTTTTAATCTCTGTAGCTAAATATGTTTGGATAAAATTAAAAAAAAGCTGTTACCTTACGAAGATAATTAACTTGGAAGGAATCTACATATGAGCCGCAAAAAGAAAGATGTATCAAATTAGTGATCACTAGCTTGACATTTCTAGAATGAATGAAGAACTTACATGAGGAAGACAGTCCTGAGCACTGAAAATTGCCTTCTGAAGGTCTCCTAATTAAAGTGGTCAGTGGGGAGCAGACATATGTGAACGCTCTCTGCACAATTAAAGTTAACGTCCCACCTCTGTGCCAGTCTTCAGAGTGACCCCTTTTTGCAGTAGTCCTATGTCCTTTAAAGCACATGCATTATTCAGTACCATTTACTTCAAAAGGGTCATTCTAATTTGCAAGTGTAATGGGCTTCCTTTATCCTCTGTGGTTTTGACATTCAGGTGGATAGGGAGGGGGGTTCTTTGCATTTTTAACCTTTTTGGTTAATGAAATGTTCCAAGAAACATTGATTTGATGACAGTATCCATATAAAATCTTGGTGGCGGTTAGCGGTGGCGTCGCTACAGGGGGGCGAGGGGGGGAAATTGCCCCCCCTAGGTTATTGCTTGCCCCCCCCCGTGTGCCCCCCGCCAGGGCCGGACTGGCCATAGGGCATGTCGGGCCGAACACAATCAGCCTGATTGTGTTCAGCCCGCACGGCCGCTATGCCCGATGCAGTGGCGTAACAACCAGGACCCCCGTGGACTATGGGGCAGTGCATACGATTTACGATGCCGTTCTGCCCTGGAGCAGCTGAGAACGCATTGGAATGCTTGACCTAATGGCGGTCACACATTCCACTGCCAAAAAACTGCACGGGATTACATTAAAATATGTGACCACGTCACAGGTGACACATTCTAACGTAGTCACAAACTTTGATAAAACACAGCCATCACAGGTATCCCAACCTGAAGAAAGCAATTTCAGGGAGGAGTCCTCTGGCAAATCCGCCGGGTTATGGAGAGCACCGCCCTACTAGTCCTCTATACAGTGGCAGAGCTACAGGGTCAAATAGTTGCAGCAGTTGCATGCTGCATTTCTCTCATATTTGTAATCTTATTTATATATACTTTATTAGTTTTTTTTCAGTGGTATGATTTAGTGGTGAAAATTATTAGTGCCCCCCCAGTTTTGACTGTGGTATCTTATGTGCCCCCCCTATATATTGTTTCTAGAGTCGCTACTGGCGGTTAGTAAGGGGCTTTACTGGAATAGTATTGTTAGAACAGTATTATAAATGGTAAATATGCAATAAAAGAGATGGGAACGGGTATAAACTGTATGTGCTGTAAGTAGGACAAGAAGCCGGGGCAGGCCACTGCATTAGAAGCGATTAGCAGATATCTTCTGAGAGTGACAGAAGGAGGAAAACCAATCCAACTTCGACCCATGGGCTATACTGCTGGTCCTTGTACTATATAACAGTCACAGCAAAACATTACATGTATACAGAACTCACTCCTGAAGGAGGCACTAATTGTATTGGGCCCTCCTAGACTGTCTAGGTTACACAGTTTCGTAGTTGCCCCAAAGCATTCACCAACCCAACAGCGACCAAGTACCTGACTTCCACACTGCTGATCTTTTGCTTGCAGAAAAATGTATTCAGCAACTTCAGGAGAAAGGTTTAGGGCACCCATGGAATCGCAGCAGACTCCAGTTATTGAATTAAAGAACACTTAGGGGTTGTTTACTAACCTTATAAACACACCACGAACATGTATACACCTCTGTGGTGTGTTCCCTCCCAGCATGATCTATGGGTGGAATCTAAACACCTTTGTAGTGTGTACACACCCAGCAGGTGTGTTGTGCAAAGCCCTGCCCTGAATTGCAAGGTGATGTTGTGTAAATTAGCTCTACGTTGTGTTGCTTGCGTTGATGAATGCAGGAATGTAAATGCATGAGCTAACCATTTTTGTCTAAACTGTGAAGCAGCATTATATATGCATCATGTGCATGATTTTTCCATATATGGCATTCGTGGAAATATGCTTTTAGAGACTTTTTGGTTGATAAATACGCTTTGCTGTGTAAAAATCACACGCACCTGGTGCGTGCATGTGTTTACGTTAGTAAATCACCCCCTTACTCTCAGCCTTGTCAGATGAAGAATTAAGCTGACCTGGCACCCTAAAAATGTAATGACCCTAAACTCAGGAGTTCAATCTTAAAAATACATTTAAGTACCCTAACTATTAATAAAAATGGATCTTATGTGTATATCACTTGGCTATAGATCCTCAAATCATCTCCAAATTGGTGCTCCCACCGTCCTCCATGGGAGTGAGCTTGGAGCGGTGACTACTTTACAACACATATAGGGACCATGGGGAACAAAAGTAGTCACCCCCCAAAAGGAAGGACAGTGTCAGCACCAATTCAGCACCCACCAAATGCATGGGTGAGTGTAGAGCAGGGGTGCCCACAATGTTTCGGAGATCTACCACCGAAAAAACACCTTTATTTAGAAAACAAGAACATTAAAATTATTACTGGGACTACTGCCTTTCTCTCTCCTCACTCTGCTGTCTCTCTCTGGGCCGATTCACACCACAAAGTCTGCGTTCCAGAGCGTTCGGCCAGCCGGCTCCGTTCAGGGCGGGAGGGGGCTTGGTGGTGCATTGAAGTCAATGGCATCGCAGCCACGCCCCTCACCCCGGCCCGCAGTGTGATCGCCCGCACACGGAACGCAGGCACATTTGGACCCGGTCCAGTGCGATCTGCAGAAATAGTGCTTGCGGGTGGGGGGCGTAGCTTCTGTGCCACTGACTTCAATGCACCGCCACACCCCCTCCCGCCCCTGAACGCAGGGAGCCGGCCGGCTTGCATTCCAGTGCGTTCCAGAGGCCGAACACTCTGGAACGCAGACTTTGTGTGAACTGGCCCTCTCTCTTGGCTGTCTCTTCTCTCTCCCCTGTCTCTCTGTTTCTCTCTCTCTCTACTGTCTCTCTTCTCTATCGGCTATCTTTGCTTACCTGCATTCCAGCAGCTTTCCGGGTCTCCTCTTAGTTGCGGTGTCCTGTCCTCCCACGGTGCTCGTGTAGCTGAATGTGCAGACTGGTAGAGGTGTCCCACCCCTTCCCATCTGCAGCGTCTGACACATTCAGCCGCACGAGCACAGCGGGAGGGAGCTCAGGTAAGTGAGCCAATCGCAATCTACCAGTGTTCGCTTTGCAATTGACTGGTAGATCGCGATCAACCTACTGGGCACCCCTGGTGTAGAGTGATCACTCTGTTTGCCTGATGAAGGGGTCTAATCGGTTCCAAAAACATTGCTTGACATTGTGATGTGATCATCTGAGTCAATAAACAAGCATTGACTACACACATCTTGTAATGCCAGTGTCTACTTTGCTATATGTTTGACCATGATAAGTCTGACTTGTCTTGAATTGCTATGCACCTTAATTGTATGAAAACTGATATTCATTGCTCTAGGAAATACTTTTTTTTTTTCCCATGTGATTTAAATGCGGGTTGGGTTGCTACTCAATATCAATGGCACCCCAATGCACAAATGTTCGTCTCTCAGTTGCCACAAAGCAATAAAGAATATTATTATTATATTATTATACAGGATTTATATAGTGCCAACAGTTTGCACAGTGCTTTACAATATAAGGAAGACATTACAATCGCAATACAATTCCAAGACAAGATGGTAAGGAGGGCCTTGCCCCTGGGGGCTTAAAATCTAACACATGTATTGCCTTGCTGCATGCTGTAAAAAAATTGCACCGGTACCTTTTGAGGGCCCAATAAAAATGTGAAATGAGAAACACAACACTCAAAGAACCATGTACCCCTATGCGTATTTGTGACCGGATCCCTAACTAGCCAGTATTTTTCACATCATAAGCGTTTCTCCTGCATTCCAGAAAAAGAAGAAAAAAAAAGTTTAATTGGATTTTAATATGATTATAGTTAAGCAGCCTAAGAAATATATTCTTGGTTGTTTTTTCATTGGAACTAATACAAGTAAAGCACATACACTCCCAGCGTCAGACAAATACTTCTCCTTTTGTTTGTGTTGCAAGTGACAGACATCACTGAATTCAGAGTGACATGGATGCTGTCAAAGAAGAGCTGTTGGGCAGGGTGACAGTTTGGTATCTTGCTTACATTTCTCATTCATTAATGGGTTATATTAGCACGTCTCCTCCTTCCCTGCAGCCAAAACAGACACAGAACATCTGAGTATCTGTAGTGGGCACAAACTGCCTCCTCCTCCTTTTCACAGATGAAGGCTCATAATGTGCACAACAGATAAGGATCTTCTAACATCAGCTGAGGCTTACAAACTGTGTATGTGTCAATCGGGTGGCATCCTGACAAGCAACATCTCAAGATTCTAGGCTCAAAAGAAGACAATTTTTTAGGGTAGCAGATCTTTTTGAGACTGAACAAAAAGGACTCAGAATCTGCACTTTTTCACAATGTAAGTTAACTTGCTGAATCCCACCCTAAAAAAGTGGTGATGGGCTCCATCATATCAGGACTGAGAAGGCCACGAAGGACTTCTGTGAGCCATGCAGAACCGGAACAGTTAGTACCCACCCTAGATCTGTCTCCGCACCAGCATCAGCTGCTTGTAGAGTCTTGGGCGCTCATTCAGCAGGACATTGCTAAGATTGGAGTTATTATTTTCATCAGGTAAGGCAATTTTTCTTTTAAGTAAATACACTACTCTTCTCACATTCTTATCATAGTAAACCCAGCAAACAGGCAACATACAATGCAATCAGATTGTACTGTATGTGAAGGTGCTTGTGATTTAACCCATAACTCATGTATTGGATAAGATTGTCTGCAAATGTTATTTAATTAGACACACCTAGGTTGTAGATAGATAAGTCAAAGAGTTTAATGTGAAACAATCTTTGCATGGAGCCACTTTCGAAGAGCATTTGGAAATAATGCTTCCCAAACACTAGTAATGCATACACTTTAATCTTTTACCACCAATGTATATTTAAAAGAGCAATGTTCTGTACAATCGATCATGCTTCCCCTATGATGTTTTTACAGTTTGTTTAATATATAAAATGAAGTGACCTCCTCCAAAAAGAAACTGGCCGGGCATATCAGCATACGGGTTGGTATTCCCATTGCAAGAGGGCATCCTACCGCATGGAAAGACCTTCAGTACTGGGGAGGGGCTTTGGGAAGGGGGGGGGGGGCACACCAGGTTTCTTACTGACATTACTAGATGCAATAGCACAATATATATTACCCAGGGAACTGTGACACTTTTCTTCTCCAAACAAGATTCCCCTTCTTCCCAAGCCAAGCTAGGAAATTAAGTGGCACAGACCTATGCACCCTCAATGGGGTTTTATCGTAAAAGAGGACCAGGCATGGAACAAAGAAACCACCACTGTTGGGTTATTTCTTTTAAATAACGGCCTGTAATACGCCCAGGTGTGAACCATACCCATAGGAAATAATGGGATTTCAGTGTTTGAGCGTTTTGCAGAGCGTTCGAACGCGCTACAAAACGCCCAGGTGTGAACCAGGCCTTAGTAAAAAAGGCGTGGGAAAAATGATAGCTTTTAATAATGCCTGAAATGTTTCCTCCTTTGTAAATCAAGCAGTGATAGCATATATATGACAGTGTTAGGCTGGGCACACACCTTACAACCATCGCAAGACTTTTGTCTTGCGATGGTTGTAAGGTACTTAAAAAAACGTACGATCTGCCTATCTTGCATAGGCAGATCGTACTTGCGATGATTGCAAGCCACGCCCCCTGAGGGGCGGGCTTCCGATGACCGCAATGCCGAACGGGCAGTGTGCGCTTGCGCACACCGGCCCGTACGGCTGTCATCGTACGGACATGCCACAAACCCGCCGAACATCGTACGATGCTCGGCGGGTTTTCGAACATGTCCGTAAGTTTTTAAAGTCGTGCGACCTTACAGTAGTAGAGGTCGCACGGCTTCCACACACCTTACGATAATCGTACGATCGTGGGATTTCCCACGATTATCGTACGATTATCGTAAGGTGTGTGGGGACCCTTACACTATATGCCAATTTGTCTGCAATGAGTTATACCGCAGCTTGATAAAAAAAAACAGCCCCATGTTCTTTGAGAGAGTTATTGATGTCACATACGTAGACTTGTAATGTGAAAGAGGTGATTCAACATGCTTTTAAATGCAATCAATCTTTAGTTAAAATTAGAATGCATAACCATTTTTAGTTCAGTGCTTTGGTTGTAGTTGACGGGATTCTGTATTAAAAAACAAAACATTTCTTAATCATTTTTACATAAATTATCACTTCATGCAGGTTTTTTTTTTACACAGGAAGGTATGAAAGAATTTGTAATACAACATACACAATTAGCATTCAATGAAAGTGAAAACTGATTGAAAATGCATGCTAAAAAGTTGTAATATATGTTTTGACTATGAATGTAAAAGACTGAATGGCATTGGACTGGTTACCTTGTTATCCATGTCTTATTGCAAAAATGTTTCTCTCTTTGATGAATCAAGCAAAACTAATCACACTTGACAATATCTCTCAAAAAAACACTCCTATTATCCTCACTTGATTAAACAGGCCCATGGTATAAGCACAGGAAAACTTAACTGTACAGTAGGTCAAAGACTTTAACATGTAGGCTAGCTTTGGCAGACAAAAGGTTAACAAATGGTGGTTGTGTGATTTCAGGCTCTTTGAAGTGCACCCAGAGTCTAAGGATTTCTTTCTTCCTTTCCGCAATGTGGATGACCTGCATGAACTGATAACCAGTAAAGACCTGAGAGCTCATGGACTAAGGTAAAGGTGATTATGGCAATAATCATCCTGCAAAGTGATATACAATAGGAACATAAATACTACAGCTCCACTTCCCTGTCCATCAATGGCATGGCCAAACATTTCAGGCAACATTTGGGGCAGTAGAACTGATTGGTGTAAACTAGCTGTCCAGCTCAATAATTCCTTTCAGCCTGGGAATCATCCACACTGATTTTGCTGCATTCCTCTAAATACTCAAGCACCCGGACACCCTGCAATAAGCACTTCCTGTTATGGGAGGGCAATTCTCTGTCCCTGTCTCCCAATTTCTTTTCTTTGTGTGCGTTTCCGGTGATGCATTCATGTGTTCCGGTCAAAGGCCTCTGCGCTGATGCTAAATGTTCAGGCATATTCAGCCGTTGTTACAACACTTGTGCTGAGCACTGACTTGCAGACACTGCTGTACACATCCATGGAGATAGGCAGTGGATGGAGAAGATCAGCAGCACTGTGATGCAACAAAGGATTAAAAAGGTAAAAATAGTATTTTGTTAAAAGTGAAAAGAGTTTGATACACAGGACTTTAGCAAACTAAATGTTACCTCATTATGGTTTACATCTACTTTATTATAAATTTAATTTCCTGATGTTTTTTTGCTACCCAAATAACATTTTCCAGTCTTCACAGTACACATACACCATACATGATTTAATGTAGTAAATGATGGATCTATAGAATGTAGTATGCCTAATTACCTCTTTTTATACCAGGGTTTTATCATTTGTGGAAAAAAGTATTGCCCGGATTGATAATTCTGACCGTCTAAAAGAACTGACACTGGAGCTTGGAAGAAGTCATTACAGATACCATGCGCCTCCCAAATATTATCAGGTAGAGACGCTCTCCATCCATTGCACAAGGCTGGGCAGCTCATGGAACCAATGTATCAAAAATGTGTTACAAGGAATATTTCCGTTTCCTGGCCATAGTAACCAACCAGCTTGCAAATGTTGTGAAAATGAAACAAGGATGATAATTGGTTGCTAGAAATGTTCTTGGTAGCTACAGAGTTACTGGGGGTAGACTTACAAAATACCTGGCACAGCTAATACTACAGACTGGTATCTAGAGGATAAGGAGGAACACAGGTCCCCAAATCATAGCACACTACTAAATTAAACTGTTAGCAGCTTCTAACTGGCGCTAAGCAATCAATGCACATATAAATATATGTGTATGTACGTACAGTATAATAGGGGTAAAAGCTCAAGGTTGCAGCCCAAAGGTGTTCGGGATGGGAATCCCATAAGGGGCACCGTGTTAAGGAGGAACTTGCATAAGTTGAGTTTTTGGCTAGGGTGAGCAGATGGACTTGCTGTACAAAGCCCTTCTGAACTGTGTTTACTGCCTTGCTAAATACAAATGCAGAACAAACCTGCTTGCACTTTTCCTGGGTGTCCCTGTTTATGGATAGTTTACCGCTGACACTACCAGTTGATCCTGTGCCCTTTACAACATACAGTATATTTATACATATACATCTATACTGTACAGGGTCAGGTCCAGATGTGTGGATGGAAAGTGAAGTAGACTAAGGGCATCAAGACCAGGGGTGGTCCTCTGCTTACTGTTGCAGGTAAAAAAAAAGATACAGAAAAGGGGATCAATAGCTTTAAGAACTCTTGATCTAATAAAAAACAAACATAATACTATTTAATGCATAGATATATAAATATAAACATTCACACAAGGCTATTTTCCAGTGGCATCCTGAAGCATGTCACACTGAGACGAGGTTCACACTTCTGTGTTACAGTAAAATACATGGAAGTGCAATTCATTGCAAATGTTACTCCAAAGCACAACAGCAACACACTTGTGTTATAGCACACTGCAACACAGCAGGCACGTTAGGACAACGATAGTGTTTTTGGTGCAGTTCTTTTTATGTCTGCTGAACTGTCCTTTTGGAACTTTGGTTTTCCAGCAGGGATGGTGGCAGCTGTTGTAGTGGAGGTACGAGTTGCCGGCTGTGGGCTTGAAATGTGTCCAGATGACGATTTGGCCCTTCTCATGTGTATAAGGAGAATTATGAGGTGAGTGATTTTCACTCAGCCTCATAATCTGAGCCGACCTGGACAATGAAACTGTCACAGGTCTGCTCAGTAGATAGGGAAGTGAGCGAACACTTGTCGCTCACTTCTCGATCCTGTGCTGGCAGAGAGCCGTGACAGGGGAGGGACTGGATTCCCCCCTCCCCTGTCCGATCCTCCAGTGCTGACTGGTGGAACGGACGGGGGCGGGTACAGCTGGCTCTGCCTCTAGATAGGCAGAGCCAGCTTTCACTCACGCAGCTGGGTGGATCCAGACATAATTGTCGGGATCCATTCCGGCTGCGGCGTCTCAGTATACTGAACTTTGGGTGACCGGAGGGCGCTAGTTTGTGTCCTCCCGTTACCCTTAGGAGAACTATGGGGAAAAGCCCTAACCCCATAGTTCTCCTTTAATTCAAGGTCCAGGAAAGCTAAACCTGTGGGGGTCTATGACATGAGTGAATTTGAGGTTTTGAGTTGTTGCTGTTGCGAATTCAGACCAGGGGATCTGTTCCTGATGCCATATCTGATTGGCATATCTGATTGGCAGCTGAGAATCCTGTAAAACACTGTAGTAGAAAGAGCGCTTAAGTGCTGGCCGCGTTCTCCCGGGTCCTGTACTGCACTGTGCTTAGCAGCCTCCCCTCTGTTCTCAAAACATTGGTTGCTGCTTACTTGGCACAGTGGCCATTCAGAAAACACCTAGTATTTTTTATTAATGATTGGACAAGGAGTAGAAGGTGTCTTCACCATCGCTCGTCCAATCAGAGAACACCTTCATTGATAAAAAAAAAGAAAAAGAAAAATACTAGGCATATTTCTGTCCATCCAGGGCTGATATTTAAATTGACGTGCTTGACAGCATAGCCAGTCTGGTGACCTGGCTTTGCATCTGCTGTAGAGAATAAACACAGCCTAGTTTGGGTATCCCTGGCTGACAGGTGAATGAGTCAGGCAGGATGGCTCCTAGGTTGTTAGGAATCAAGTGACTGCTGGCTTCCTAACAACAAGCCAGAGGGGAAGTTGTCACATTTAAGAAGTGGTAGTAATGACGCTGCTAAATGTTTTACATCCCTGCAGGAGGTTGCTTTTGTCTGTGGTGCTGCCTGGGTAAACTTTCCCATAAATTCGCCATTTGGGCGAACATGCAAAGTTTGCCACGAACCCAATTCAGTGGCGAACCCTAACCTCATCCCTAGTAGGTAATGACAGATAGAACTACATTCTTGCTGATGATTTGAACATTATTTAGGATAACCAGGTTTTGGTGGTGATTTTTTTATGCAACTAGTTGGCATATATAACATGAGATGTTCTATATAGCAGCAAAGATTGTTGTATTTTCCTCACTGAAAGCTTTGCATGTGTTAAATCTGACATTCATGTTTCCATGTTTTACAGTATGTGGTAGCTGAATTTTTTTCTGCTATTCATCCCCTTCTGAAAGACAAATGGACACCAGAGTTGGAGAATGCATGGAAGGTAAGCATAAATTAAATTAAGATATAGTTGCCCCCAGCATTGTGACCAAGCTGTCACCAACCGCTCCCAGTCACTGTTTACAATCGGGAGCTAGTAACATTGGCAGCCAGTCATAGTGATCACATGATCAGGAAGCCTCTGGGTCTCAGCGGAAACCCTCTTGTTGTATCTGCTTATGTTTATGCAAGTTAGGGATTTAATTTGTCTGTCTCTTATGTAATGTTCAATTTTTTTGATACATTTTTACTGGGTTTAGTCAAGAAATAACAAAAGAAAAGAAAAAAAGTGGTACTGTGCCTCATTATCTGACATGAAACGTACTTGTAGCACATATAATTCCATCTCACATATAGCGAACATCTGAATACGAATTGCATAAAAGTATGTATCATATGTTTTGAGTAGGAATGTTCTGATACCTTCCCCGATACCGGAACTTCAGTGTCATAGGGGAATATGGAGCCGGCTTCCCGGCCAATCAGGAAGCCGGGAGGTCATTACTCGCCACCCAAGTTCCTGATTGGCTGGGAATCCGGCTTCCCAGCCAATCGGCATTGAGCCAGCTGAACAGCTGTGATTGACTGGAAAGCCAGCTTTCCAGCCAATCAGCATGGAGCCAGCTTACCAGCCAATCAGGAAGGCAGGCGGTGAGTAAAGCTAGTTTGATGCTGATTGGCTGGGAAGCCTGTTCCATGCTAGTGGAAGCACCGGCATCGGTACTCGGTATCTTCGATTTACCGAAAGCAAAATATCAGTACCCGTACTCGATAATGGGAAAAAAAACGGTATAAGTGCATCCCTAGTTTTGCGTAAACAGTCTAACTTAAGAAAAAATAGCAGTATAGATGAAGCAAGAATCCTAGTAGAAAACAGAGACAATAAACCTAAAGCCAAGCCCCAACGCTGTCCACCAACGGCCCTGGGCAACAATACCATTCCATGAAACAGAAGGGTTAAAAATAAGGTATAAGACAACAAGAGAGAGGATAAAATTATGACATCATCAAACCGACTTATGTAGCTGATAGCATTACATCTAGGTATTATGCTGTTTGTTTTTTTACGCGAGCCAACAAGTCCAGATTCTACAAAAGAGGTCATGGGTTTTGAGGTCACTGTGCATCGGCCACTCCAGAGTGCATATCTGATCTACTTTGCAGAACCAGCCCTCCACAGAAGGGGCCTATTTTAGTTTCCAGTGATGAAATGAAAGATTTGGATGAATTTAATATAGGTGAGAGGTAATAGACCGTTTGTAGCGACTAGCTCTCCTATACAGTGAATCAATACAGTCCACAGATGAAAGCAGATTGGAACACCCTGTATTGAGCAAATACCATCAACAATGGTTAACCAGTGTTGTCTAATGATCGGGCAGTGCCACCATATATGAGCACGAGTTGCTGTTGCCCCACATCCTCACCAACACAGTGGAGAGAGTTCCGAAGAGATAGAATGTAATTTAGTAAAATACCTCCTAGAGACGAGTTTATTATTCATTTCCACTATCTGCGCAGAAGTAGAGGACACATGGGCCAGCTGTAAGACCTTCAATCTTTAAGGTTACAATAAAGACAGACCCACGTCAGTCTACCAACTGGTATTCAAGCAAAGCTGGAAAACCCAATTGTGAAAGGGCTGCAAATAATAATGAAACTCATATGTAATGTTCATTTCAAACTGCATGTCCCCCTAAAAGTGTCCTGGCCACAGTGTGACAACACTGCTGTGTGATTTCACTACAAAATTAATAACTGTCACCTTTTACGTTGTACTTACAGAAAGTACTGGCAGGATCAGCAGGTAATAGAATTACACAAGGGGACTCAAATGGTAATTATCCCTCCTCCTCTCACAGAACTCCACATTCTGAGAAAATAATACAAGTGTCTGGACCGGGTACAAAAACTTCAGACAGTAAATAGTGGTGAGTGGCTTCACCTATAGCAGCCGCTTTTCCCTTAAGGCAAGTGGGTCTACTGGTACTGATGCCCCCAGTACTTAGCTATATACTCTGACTCTAGGCACAGGCTGAGGTCATGACTGGTGGCAGACAGAGAGTAATCCAGGGACAGGTTGTGGTCAGGACTGGTGGCATAGAGTATTCCTGGGGACAGGCTGAGGTCAGAACTGGCAGCAGACAAGGTATTCAATTTCCAAGACTAGGGGGAGCGTGGCCAGGCTCGTAAACGCCCATAGCTGTCAAAGTCTGGGAAAAGTGCAGTGTCAGCAAGCAAGCACCAGGAGTAGGTGAAACAGAGGCGCTGCTTTTAACTGCTGCAGTGCTAGAACTATAGCATTGTGAGTAGTATGCCGCTTCACTGAAAAGTAATCAGAAGCCAGCATGGGATACACTTCATTGAAAGTGAATGATGTGACTGGTTCTGTATGTACATGAATGATGTGACTGGTTCTGTATGTACATGAATGATGTGACTGGTTCTGTATGTACATAAATTTGTTTGGTGGGATTTCACCCCGCTTACACTTGGCGGGATTTCGACCCACTTATCAGTGACAGCTTCCTGTTTAGATGATTTTTCTTTAGTAACGGATTTGGTGACTGGTGCCACTTGGGACAGAAAGTGAGGTAAAATGTCCCCAGCAGGAACACATACAGAAATAAAAAAAACAAACACGTTATTTGTTGAGTAAAGTAGCGATAGAACCTGTGTTAGATTGCTATTATTGTCTGTGTCTCCTTCTCTCTCCCCCCCCCCCCCCCCCCTTGTGAGAAGACAGTAATACATGATATGGATTTGAGCCCTTCCATGCTCTGGCTTAAAACATTTTTATTTTTCTTGCGTAAAGCTTATAAAAACTGGTGCAATTGCTTCTGGCATGGAAGCTTCAGGCTACATACAAAGTAATAACTATGGGGCTCTACTATTAATTGTTTACACTGCTAAGTCTTGCAGTAAAGGTGAAAATACTTTGCATTACAAGCACATAGGAGAGTCAGACAGCTTCTCTGTCACCCAACAACGCAGCCTGGCTCTCCAGTGGTCCCCCATATTCTACTGATTGAAGCAGTGTTCGGGGAGGGGTGCTGGAGAGCTGGACCACTTCTTTGTGTGAGAGAGCTGCGGTCCAACTATGTGCAGGTAGTTTAGGGTATTTTTACCATTGCTGCTACACTTGGCAGTGGAATAAAAAAAAAGTAAAACATCCCCATACTGGATAAAGTATACGCAGCCTAGCATAAATAATAAGAGTTCAACTGGGCTTTGAGAATGAACACTTATGCTAATGACCGAGACTAAACTCACAGACTATCCCATAACCCATTACCCCAGCTGTGCAGCAGTTATAAAGCTGAATAACTAAATAAGCCGAGCTACAACAATGAGCAATACAAAAAAAACAATCAGTGACTCAAACAAATGTCAGTGAATAAAAATCGATCAGGTGGGAAGTCTATAAATGTTCATAACTCGAAAAATTTCCATAATATAGCAATAGTGATGAATATTTCTTGTTCCTTCACCAAATGCACCACACCAGATATAGGGGTTCTCACCTTATTGATAGACCCCAACAAAAGGTCAAATCAGGCAATTCATCTTAACCAGGGGAGGGGGCCCTCAGCTCTATTCGCTCACAGATGTGACCTGAGGGCCCCCTCCTCTGGTTAAAAAGGAAATTGCAAATATGTAACATGTAAAAATCAGTTCTAACAATGAGCATTTCTTATTTGCTCCATTTTGGTTTGTTAAATATACCATTGAAAGCATTTTGTGATACCTGCATAAAGTTATCAATGCAAAAATAATACCCGTTGATCCTGTCAGATATGCAGACCTATTTGTAGTCCTAACACACTCTCAGTCCTAGGGTGACTACGCTGCTCCATAGATACAATTACAGTGAATCAGCGTTGTTACCCTAGGACAGGAAGTGTGTTAGTGACAGGATCATCAGGTGAAAGTAAAGTAATAAAAAAAAGTCTGAAAAAATAAAAATAAAGCAGACAGTACATCTAAAGGACTGGGCATCTGCAATTCATTACACTACTCTTCTTGGGTTTAGATACACATTAAGGCACACTAATGATTAAAATAGAAGATTTCTCCTTGTTTTACTGATCATTAGCAATCTATTGCCAATGTGTTTCTTGTTTCTTTGTATACAATGTTATCAAAGATTGTTTTTCATGTTTTTATTCATCAGAATCTGTTCACCTATATCTGCGCTCTGATGAGAAGAGGATATGATGAGGAAGAAACAAAAACTGCTGGCAAGAAGAGTAACACTCCTATAAAATAAGAGACTGGCTGGAACTGTGCAGGCAATCCATGAAGTTACTATGGGGCTGATGTATAAACGTTCCACCCAACATATAGCTGCGCGAATGCCATTTGCATGCAATTCCTGCCACTAGATGGAGCTAAGAAACAGGAAATTCCTATGCTCCCTGACTCTGTGTCGTGGCAGAAATGCCAAGTAAACGGCATTTGCCCAGCTATATGTTGGGTGCAATGTTTACACATCAGTCCTTATGGTATTAGCCCCATTTCTTTGTGTTGGTTACCGTAAATTTTTTACTTTATCGAATATGTTAAAAGTGATCTGACATAAAGACAAAATGTCTCCAATTGTCAGAAAAGTTTGTGAACCCTCAGGAATTTTCTAGATTTCTGTAAGAATGGAAACTAGAGGTTGGGGTCATATTTTTAATGTTTTATATTGATGTTTTAACTTTTTATTTTAAAAAAACTTTATTTTACAGATACACATTTAATACAAGGTACATACATGATCCTGGCATCACATTATGGGTATGACGCTGCTCGTCTTTAGACTCCCTGTCTCTCTTTGTATGGATACCTGAATGGAAAGCTTGTTTGACAGAGTAGCTAAGGATATCTACACAAGTAAAAAGCTCCACCTACTTTTCATAAAACAAGGAAAAGATAAAAAAGAAACAGAGCTCTCTGGATGGAGCTAAAACTACTTTAATAAAATATGCATTTACCCAGAAATGACTCGATCTGGGCAGTTCATAATGAATAGGAAAGGAATGCGGGGTCGCACAGAACTGAAGCTGAAACACTCTTACACAATGGCTGCCAGTAGGAGAGGAGACTATCCAGGTGGAACTCTGGGAGAGCCCGAGCGAAGTAAACTACAAAAATGTCCACAGCTGGTGCAAAAAAAGGGGCAATGTTAGTGATTACCTCTACTACACTAACGTGTTTCAGGCCCGTGCACCTACATTAGACTCTACTACTGGTAATTGGAGGTACTAATATACGAGGATTACAATTACAATCCCCTTTATTTGCACCAGATTGGGATGTTTTTGTAGTTTACTTTGCTCAGGCTTTCCCAGAGTTTACAGCAGAAATTCCAACCTGGCTTGTCTTTCCTCCCACTGCCAGCCATTCTGTTAAAAGGGTTTCAGCTTCAGTCACGTATGACCTGGTGTTCCTTTGGAAGATATTCTTGGTGATTTGCCCTGATCTAGTTACTTATGCGTAAGTGCATTTTAAAAAATATATTATTAATGAATCTGCACTTTCCAGTTGCGTTTCCTTTTGGAAGGATTGTCAAAGAAACCTAGCACCAGTGAAATGCGGTACATTTAAAGTTGACATATTTTCATTTGTGCAATATAATTCATTCAGAAAATAAATTCATACAGCAAAACACACCTATACACAATGAAATTCTAGGTATTTCGACCAATGCATCAGGAGTCAATTTGTGGCTTGGACCTGCAATGCCATATAGAACACAAATTTCCTTATATAAATGTCAGCGTTCCTTAACTACAAAGAATGTAACAAAAAATGCAAACTAGAAATCCGGGCAGCAAAAAAGGAGTGTGAAAAGCATATCGCCGCAGATAGTAAAAAGAACCCCAAAAAATGTTACCAATATATTAACAGTAAAAAGGTGAGAAAGGAGCAGATAGGCCCAATAAAGGATGGAAGCGGGAAGCTAGTCACAAACGACAAGGAGAGGGCCAAGGCGCTGAACGCTTTTTTCCTCCTCAGTATACACTCGGGAGGGAAAACCTCAAATACTATGTAACTATGCTCCTTACAACATTTTGTTGAAGTGCTTTTACTGCTTCCAAGAGACATTAGGAGAGTAAGGATTTGTTCTGAAGCTCATAAGCCTGGATGGGGTTACAAAAAAATGTACCTGCCTACACCATACAGTCCTTAAAGGAGAACTATGAGGCGAGTGCTTTTCACTCACCTCATAGTTCTAGCCGGCCTGTGACAATGAGACTGTCACAGGTCGGCTTAATAGATCGGGAAGTGAGCGAACACATACCGGCGTTCGCTCACTTCTTGATCCTGACATTATTGTCGGGATCCGCCTCAGCTGCGGCATCTCAGTATACCGTGAGCTGTAGCTCGCGGTATACTGAGCTTAGGGTGACAGGAGTGACAAAAAACCCAGAGCTAGTGATCTGCAAGTATATTCATAGTTGAATCCATCTGTTTAAGAATTTATGTTTGAAATAAAAACACCAAACAACAGTGTTGTTCATGAGGAAATAACATAAATGAAGCCAGTGGTCACAAAAATTGCTTGATGTAAAACAGTGTTTAGTAGATGAGAAATAGTCAATGTAAAATAGTGTTCTGTAGATGGTATATGGTGTCAATGTATAATAGTGTTCTGTAGATGAGATATGATCAATGTAAAACAGTAATCTGTAGATGGGAAATGATCAATATAAAAGAGTGTTCTGTAGATGACACAAAAGCTGATGCTTTGCAAATGTTCAGAGCATTAAAGTCGAACTTTACCCTGCTTCTTTTATTATTGCCCTCATATGACAGCTTCTATATTATGTAGTAGTCTAGTGCAGGGGTCAAAATTTCAAGTCCTGAGCTACCAGCCAGGCCTTAAGAGTTACTCGCCACCAGTTGCCCACCTAACCCCTACCCTCCTGCAGCCTTAACTCCGCCCCCAAAATACACCCTCTTAAATTATCTTATCAATGAGACTGTTACATGTTTTATGCAGAATAAAGTTACAAGAATAAATATTAACAACTTTAACAATATTAACATAAAGCTCCCTGCCCCCACATATAAAATACACACCCCTGTTCCATGCCCCCCACGTATAAAATAATACACCCCCCTGTTCCCTGCCCCCCACACATAACATCATAATCCCCCGTTCCCTGCCCCCCACACTGGCAAGTTTCATTGGCAATGGAGTGGACTGCACATACACAACCAGTGATGTGGTCCCAGCATAGAAGAGATGACGGAAGTTTACTCTGCCAGGGTGACATTGCTTCATCTATTGATGCCTGCGCTTTCCTCCCATGTGTCTATTTACATTTCCATGTTAACAACATAGGCAGAGTCTTTTGAGTGCACGTGATCAAAAATGGTGCTAATATCAGTCCAAGGGGGCAGCAAAAGGACAACTTATTCTGGGATACCAGAGGATTAAATGAGTAAGTGATAAATACGGAGGAGTTTGGGCACGCCCTGGATTTTGGTACTGGAAAACAGTTCCGGTTTAAGTCTGAAAGTCTTGGAACTACGTTTCTTGAAGTGCTTCAGGTTCCTTTAAGCGCTCAACTAGAAGAATCAATAATGGGTACCATTATTGTGAATGGTACCCATTCACAGCTGAACATCTTGTCATCTGTCGCTTGTAGCTCGAGAGAAGACACGAGTTTCCTTGAAGGCAGAATCAAGCATTTTAGTCCCATAAACTTCTATGGCAGTGCCTGAAAAATGCATTTACGTGTGTTTTTCAGACACACCTATTTAAAAGTCTATGGGGCTAAAATTGCACAATTCTGCTCCTGTACTACAAATCGTGTGCACCAACACAAGAGATCTGCCTGTAAAAAAACCTGGCTATGCTCAAACTTTGATGGGAGTAGGGTGTAACACTGAGAGCCTGAGCCAGATTTACATGTCATAATCATATAGGATCAGAAAACCTGGTGCCTTAAACTCCCCCCATTAACCATGTCCCTCGCTAAACCATACTCGGTTGTGCTGATAGAAAACACAGGTAGAAAAATATCCTTAACTGTACTTTGATGAACTACAATTACTGCATAATAGGCAGATGTTATGGCCAAGTATAACACACCACCTTATACAGAGCAAAGCCACATACTTTCTAAGCGATCAATGTCCCAACGTCCACCATTAAAAATTCAGGTTTTCCTTTTACTAATGCCATTAACACTACACTGAAGATTCCCTTGTAGTTGTAATAATATGAGTCTGAATTTGGTGATGGATTTATTCTTATGCGTTTCCCATCCAATGCTCTGCCACAATTGGGAAAAATCCATAGCTCCTCAAACATTTTGAGATGTGAAGTCATTCTCCTGTGGATTGTGGGAATTAGGGGGGATTAAAATGTTTATGGCAAATTAAATCTCATGCTTCTATTATATTATTTAGATTGTTATTATTCTTGTCATAAAGAAGACATATGGTACAGGTCTACAAAAGAGGCAGAGACACTATTTTAATAAAGTTGATGTAGGAGTTAATATAAACACAAGTTTTTGGAGGGGGAAAAAGGGTTATAGAAATAGAAAATGAGATATAGTTTTTAATGTGGAACATACATTAAAAACTAGATCATGAGCAGGGCCCTCCTTACCATCTTGTCTTGAATTGTATTGTAATGTCTTCCTTATATTGTAAAGTTCTGCGCAAACTATATGTGCTATATAAATCCTATATAATAATATTATGCAATGAGTAGTAATGACACATACCTTCATGTACTCTGGTGCAAGTGCTTTTATGATTGCTTTACAAGTCTCAGGAATTATGTGTCATAAAGCTTGAGGGACAATTTAGGGTCCTCATAGGAACTTCCTGTAGCAAGGAAGCGCAGTGTTGTTAACAGTCTTTGGTCTGCGGAAATGGACTTGTGCATTACTGTAGCCTTCTTGGTTAGCTTGGGTCGCACTGCTTCTAATAAGGTTTTAAAATTTTGAGCTGTCATCCGAATTAATTTAATGAAGTTATCTGGGTGGTTGGCTTGCAGCTCTTGGAATATATGGATATGGCTGTATTTTTCCCATTTCATGCAGATTTTGCGTTATGTAGTCCGGTCATTTCCATGTAAATGATGTAGCATCAGTGACGTGCGGTACCTTCCTGACGTGACGTGCTGGGTGAGGCATTCTCCAGCATGCCAAAGCCCCACCCACAGGCCAGCAAAGCCCCATTCTGTGTGGAGTAGGGAGGGAGGAGCCTGCCTGTCCCTCACTTGCTCGTCACTGCTGAGGCATCAGGATCGATGTCCTCAGTGGGGTTTTTTTTTTTTAATTGGACAGCTTGGATCAATGGCGCTTTGCCATTGATCCAAACCATCCACAGAGCTCAAGCCTCTAACAGAGTAGAGGCTGTTGCAGCTCTGGCCTCACTTTGTTAGGTTACACATGCAGTGGTAAAGGCCACTGCTGTGTAACCTAACTTAACTGTCAAAAGCCGGATGCAGCACCGCCTGTAATTAACAGGCGGCGCTCTGTCCATGACAGGTTACACAACGGGGAGGCTTTTCCTGCTGTGTAACCTGTTACAAGCCCCTCTGAATGGTGGAAAGTTCCTTCATAATACTAGACGAGACTCTGCCTCCCCTGACCGCACGTCCCTGTTTAGCTTGACTAGAGCTGAGGCTTTGCAAACCTTGTGTAGATTTCTAGGTGCCATAACAGTATTCACAGTGTTTTGAAAGACTCACAGAAACCGTTCTTTTGAAAGAACAGGAAGTTAAAACTCCCACCTGATCCATCACTTCCGACCTATCAAAAGGGTAGATCAAATGCAAATATTGCCGTACGATCGGGATCAAATCAATCAAAATGCCATTTAAAATGTGTGTGTGTGAAAGATCGATTGCATTTCCTTTCTGTACCGATTGACTAGTAACCAATGATATTCTCGATCATACGGTAAAATCGATACGTGTGTGTGGCCACCATTAGGATGGCTGTAGTGGCACTGTCAGTCTTTATATCATATAGAATCTGTCCTTGTGGTCAGCCAGAAAGCTCAACCCCTCTCCTCAAAACTATAACCTCCCCTGTGCCGGCGCGTACCGGTGGATGGCAGCCATCACAGGGACAAATATACCCTTTTCCCTGGGAACACCAAGGACAATTAGGGTATGCAACATCTTAATTTACTATAGAGATCCCCAGGTAAGGTAATGTTTGTCCCCATGATGCACCACTGACAGATGTGTGCTCTGTACACCTGTTTTTAGTGAGATTTAGGAACACAAAATGGGCAGGGCACAGGAAAAGGGTGCAGGGCAAAGGAAATATGAGGTTGTAGGGGTTTTAGGTAATTTTCTGACCTAAAAATTTGCATTTTTACATGTGTGCCAAAACAAAAAACACACACAGCACAAAAACAAAACCCAATACTTTTTTTTATTAAAGATAAACTTGATCCATCATATCCAGAATAGTTGCTGGAGTGGGCTAGTAGAAAGTAAAAAGATAGCTCATAATCCATCTCCTGTACAAAGTCTTCCAACCTAGAATTTCAATACAAAAGGGGCACAAACAACCACAAGAATGAAATGTCCTGACACTATGTAAACGTGTCTCTGCACAGATCCCATCAGGGCACATCCCGGCTTCTACAGTGGAGATGGATACTCCAGCATAAAGAAATACGGGTGACATTTCACTAATGTGTTGGAGTCTTGGTGTACCCCACCAACCATACCTGTTATGCTATGAATGATGCAAATAGCTGTACCACCATATCACACGTGTTGGAAGCATATGAACAGTCATTCCCACCTACTATAGAAAGGAAAGACTGTTTATACACAAACCACACTAGCTCAGTCTGCAACAAAACTTTTTTCACTTACCACCATGCTAACTCACAATAATTCTCTTACAGTACACTAACTCCATAATCTTCCCACAGACAATGCTTCAAATTTCAATTAAAAAAAAAAAACCTGTCCATACTGGATAAGCTGTACAGTATTTCTAATGACAATGTCTTCCAATTTTGCAAAAAAAAAACCCCAAACCCCAAAAACATAGGCAGCAGCAAGGCACCTTTTGGAAAGAGCCTTTGTATATCATCCAGGTTTATGTTAGCTCTCGCCCCCAGATGGTTTCCACAACTCCAGACAGTGTTAAATAGGCAAGTGTCCATGTCTGTTACTGAGCTGCGCTGCTCTTCTTTGTCTTACTTTTCTTATCCTTCTTTTTCAGCCCATCCATATTTGCACGCAGTAAGTTGGAATAAGCCTGGAAAAGACAAGTCACATTTCTTGATGTTAGCAGAATGCTCCATATGTGCACATATTGGGATAATAGACTTGCTGCTGTATTATATAATAAATCACCACAGGATGACCTACATGGGAGACATGAGAAATAGCTCCAAGTATATACAAATAAAGTATCGGATTGGTTATCCTAGAGAAACTGAATAAATCAGCTAGTCCTTTAGACACTTTAAGTGTACCAAATCCAAGAACGATTTTAAATATTTCAGTTTTCAGTTTAGTTTTGTAGATGTGGTTGCCGCATTAGGCCTCCTTCACACAGGCAAAGGGGTGGTAAAAACAGAGGGTTAATCCGTGTTTACATCGTCTCCTGACTCCCCACCTACAAGTTAAAATAGCAGGTACTCAGGCTTGTACACATGTCTTGGCCACAATGCTTTGTGTGTGTCATTTGGAAGGTGATGCCACTTGCAAAAAAAAAAATTGTTGGCAATCAATAGGGTTGTGCCATAACTGTGTGCCAGCCTCTTGGTACAAGGTTGTGGAGTGGTATTGCAGTGCAAAAGTCCTTTCCAGGAGGTACAGAGTACCAAGTGTCCTTCATAGGATGGCCACAGATTCCATCCGCCTGTTGGAGGTGTGGGGAGGAGGGGACTTGTTCTAAATTACGTTCCTTCTGGGACTCGGTATGGGATACTATCAAACCGGTGGTTGGAGGCTTGGAATATACTCCTGCAGCCTATTTACTGAACCTAACTTCCACCTCCAGGTCCAAATACAGAACTTCTCCTTTCTAGACACCTGCTTAACACTGCCAGGGCATGTATAGCCCTCCATTGGCACCAAACACATCCCCCCTCCTTGCAGCTGTGCTTTCAAAAAGTTAATGAGATATGCCAAATGGAAGTTTTTACAAAAAACGAATTTAATTCTACCTGGAGACCTTGGTTCTTATTTCAGGACTCAGTAGTACCAGAAAGTTGATTCCCTCTACAGGTTACCCTTCATCATGAGGGAGTGTTTCCACAATGCCTCTAGGGGCCTTTGCCCTTGCGTTCTGCTAGAGCCTACCCTCTTACATGAGCCCCTTTAATGGGGAGCTGGACTTCTTTGCCCCTATGGGTTTTCTCTCTCGCTCTTTTCATGGCCTGCTTTCTTGCCTTACCCCACACTGCCTTACTCTCTAGGTTTATGCTATCCTTGCTAGTACTCCCTTTACTGCTAGTTCTATGGATTCTATTTCTAATTAACACTTGACACTTTGTTCATTTGGTTAATACCCATTGATAGTTATATTACGGGTTGCTTGATAAATACAGAGTTCACATGTTTTCTATATGATGGTGATCTTCAACGCTGGTCTTGGCGTTTGCTCTCACAGATGTTCTATTTCTGACTCATCTTGTATTTCAATTTGTTGTTTTTGTATTGCTTTATATGCTTTCATATTATGCCGGAAAAAAAAGTTTTTTTTTTCAAAACCCACCCAATAATGTTGCAGGCATCAAAGGAGAACTACTGGGTAAGTGTTTTTTCCCCATAGTTCTCCTCAGGGTCACGGGAGGACATAAACTAGCGTCCTCCCGTGACCCAAAGCTCAGTATACCGCGAGCTACAGCTCGCGATATACCGAGAGCGCCGCAGCCGGGACGGATCCCGACATTACAGTCGAGATCCACCCAGCTGCGTAATTGACAGCTGGCTCTGCCTAACTAGAGGCAGAGCCAGCTGTACCCACTCCCTCCCCTGTTCGTTCCTCCAGTCAGCGCTGGAGGATCGGACAGGGAAGGGGGTAATCCCTGCAGGGAGCCGTAACTGACAGTCACTGCTGCCTGCAGGGACAGGATCGAAAAGTGAACGAGCGACGGTATGTTTTCGCTCACTTCCCGATCTACTGAGCCGACGTGTGACAGTTTCATTGTCACACGCCGGCTCGAACTATGAGGTTGAGTGAAAATCACTCTCCTCATAGTTCTCCTTTAAGGGCTATATTACCCTTTTTACTCTGAAACTGCTCTGATGGTAATGCCTGCTCACAACTTCACACTTAAAAGCCTCTCTGTAGCTCGGCCCAAATATCTGCACAATGATTTTTGGACAGTTTGACATTTTAGAACACTTGAGGCGGTACTTACCATCTGGAACTTGTTTACGTCTTTAGAACTGACCTGTTGGAAACAGAAGATAGAATTGTGTGAGAAGGCCTGATAATGGAGACAACATGCCGTGCCCATTTGACAGTTCACCTACCACTGTGCTGATTTTTTTCTTTCCATCTGTAGCTCTCAAAAGGCATTTGTTATCAGCTGGTTCAAAACTTTCTGAATGGCTCTTACTTGGGATTGGTTTTGTCCTGCCATCATCTGTAGAAAACACAGCATGAGACAAAATATTTCAGTTGCCAAATGTGGGTGAATAAAATTATTATTAAAAAAGATAATTTGGTGAAGAAACTACCCAAAACCACAGAACATAAATATCTGTAGAAAATAAAATCAAGGTTAATGGACTTGCTGTCATTTTTTTTTTTTCTTTACAGGAAAAAAAAATACAGCAAGTTCAGCTGCCTTGATTTTTACAGATATACCAGGACCTGGTTGATTGAGAACCGTCAGACACACAGAACATAAGCTCACAACGCAGCAGGTTGGTATGGGGGCTGCTGCAGCTGCCTCCCTTCAGAAAAAGCTAGTTTCATGGACGTAACTGGCTTCAATACCTTGAGTCGCTGAACCAAAACAAGTATGCGCATCAGGAAAGTCAGAGAAAAGCGACAAGTCTTTACCTCCATGCTTTTTCAGGGGGTCAGCGACAAATATTGCCGAGGGTCAACATTAGAGACAAGCCACTAGCATTTTCAGATGGAAGTCCACTAGCAGCCTCATTTTGGAGGCATCTTATTTTTATTTCTTTTAGTCTATGTTGAGTTGCTAAGCTCTCGGCAAGTGAAAAGATAACAGCTACATTAATGGTCTGTTCACAGTTGTGTTGTCCCCTGCTCACTAGACAATGGATTAGTATCATGCTGATGAATCACATTGCAAAAAAAAAAAAGATATAGGTCTAGGAATCTACAAAGCTGAAGCAGCAAGAAGGGGAGCCACCTTCCTAGCAATGTAGTGTGGCGTGTACAAGAAAACTAGAATTACAAATTAATTGCCGAGCATAAAATTTAAATATACGTATTTCAACTGCAGAGGACGATCCATCACTGGAAGAGAGACTGGTCTCATGAATGACAGGTCACATGACCGGGATCCCCTTGCTTGGGTTTTCTCCCTCACTCATCAATATGATAACAATCAAAGCGGCAGGGCATAATTGTAAAACATATCAGATGCTTTATGAACGTCCTTTTTCAGCAACAGGATGACTGTGGTAAGGCTATATGACTGCTTAAAGGAGAACTATGACATGAGTGATTTCCACTCACGTCATAGTTCTAAGCCGACCTGTGACAATGAGACTGTCACAGGTCGGCTCAGTAGATCGGGAGGTGAGCAAACACATCCCGGGTTCCCTCACCTCTCGATCCTGTCACGGCTCTCTGCCGTGACAGGGGGAGGGGCTGGATTCCCCTCTCCCCGCTCCGATCTGCCAGCGCTGACTGGCGGAACGGACGGGGGAGGGGGCGGGTACAGCTGGCTCTGCCTCTAGATAGGCAGAGCCAGCTGTCACTCATGCAGCTGGGCGGATCCCGTCATCTAAGTCGGGATCCGCTCCAGGTGCGTCGTCTCAGTATACCGCATCAGGAGTCAATTTGTGGCTTGGACCTGCAATGTCATATAGAACACATTTCCTTATCTGCTCCTTACAACATTTTGTTGAAGTGCTTGTACTGCTGCCAAGAGACATTAGGAGAGTAAGGATTTGTTCTGAAGCTCATAAGCCTGGATGGCGTTACAAAACAAATGTACCTGCCTACACCATACAGTCCTTAAAGGAGAACTATGAGGTGAGTGCTTTTCACTCACCTCATAGTTCTAGCCGACCTGTGACAATGAGACTGTCACAGGTCGGCTTAATAGACCGGGAAGTGAGCGAACACATACCGGCGTTCGCTCACTTCTCGATCCTGTCACGGCTCTCTGCCGTGACAGGGGGGAACTGGATTCCCTCGTCCCTGCCCGATCCTCCAGCGTTGACTGGCGGAACGGACGGGGGAGGGGGCGGGTACAGCTGGCTCTGCCTCTAGATAGGCAGAGCCAGCTGTCACTCACACAGCTGGGCGGATCCAGACATTGTCGGGATCCGCTTCAGCTGCGGCATCTCAGTATACCGTGAGCTGTAGCTCGCGGTATACTGAGCTCAGGGTGACGGGAGGACGCTAGTTTGTGTCCTCCCGTTACCCCAAGGAGAACTATGGGGGAAAACACTGACCCCATAGTTCTCCTTTAATAAAATCACCCCTTAGTTTGCTAAACGTTCACCTGAAAAACAATTTATATACATGTACCCCGGGTTAGAAAAGAACTCGGTCACTCATCCCAAGTCCAATAAAAGTATATGACCACTAACACTCCAAGTAGGCTAAAAAAATAAATAAAAAAACAAACCCTCTGCTCCACCAAAAGTTCAAAAACATTTTTAAATTGTACCTAAAAACTACAAAAAAAAAAAAAATGGTCATATTTGCTCTCTATCCTATATATACCTTTACCAGCATTTTGTCAATTCTGTCTTGTGAGTTGATAATTTCCTGTGCGCTCTCTGCCTGTGCTGCACTCTCATCAACTGCATTGTGCTACAGTATCTCTGAGAAATGCTGAACCCCCCACCCATGTTATTAACAATAGGAGAGGGGTGGGGATCCATAGTCCTATCTTGTTTCTGTTATCCTGATTGCAGAAAAGCAAATTGTCATCCGAGGACAGTAAGTGTTACTGCCAGAACCAGCAGGTGAAAAAAGAAAACGAATGCCGCCTCTGCATTTAAAGTTTGGTATGTTGCAGTACATTATATTTTTGGTTTTGTGTTTAGATGATAATTGTAAAAATAATAATAATAATCTCAAGCCCTGAGACAAACGTTACCAGCCCTTACTTACATTTCTTTAGTGTTATAAACACACTTCCCGACGTGCGGCACTTCTGGAATAATCGTGTCAGTTCAGTCAGAAACTGAAAATACAAAATGGAAGATGAATTATTAGGGATGCACCGAAGCAGAATTTTGACAAATGTATTTGTCAACAAATGTAGCCACCCTCCAGAAGGAAGGACAGTGTCAGCACCAATTCAGAGATGATTTGAGGATCTCCAGCTAAGGTTAGATTCACACTATGGCGATCCTTGACCGCACGGCAATCATGCACGAAACTGCGTGGTCACAGAATCGCCTCCGACCAACAATTGCGCTGGGGGGTGCCATTTAGAGCTGCAGCTAATGATTATTTTCAAAATCGATTAGTTAGCCGATTATTAAGTTCGATTAAATCGGATAAAAAATAAAATACATTTAAAAAAATGGCTCCAGTGATGGGACTACTAGTTTGTATTGAGTGTAGTCCATCACAGGAGCAAGCTTGGAGCAGTGGACGTAAACAAGAAAAGAAAAGTGTGGTGTGCAATATAGTGAAATGAAAAGTGTAAAGTTATACAGCAATGAATGCAGAATGGCAACGGCTATAGAGGACTACAAAACCCAGCAATACATTATACAGAGCAATGCAGAATATCACCAGCTATAGAGGCATACAACAAATCTCAGCAATAGTACATTATAGCTGGCGGTATTCTGCATTGCGCTGTATAATGTACTATTGCTGGGTTTTGTAGTCCTCTATAGCTAGTGATATTTTGCATTGCACCACTGTTTAATGTATTCCTGGGATTTGTTGTACTCCTCTATAGCTGGTGGTATTCTGCATTGCGCTGTATAATGCATTATTGCTGGGATATGTAGTCCTCTATACAGCGCAATACAGAATACCACCAGCTATAGAGGAGTACAACAAATCCCAGCAACAGTACATTATACATACAGCGTACAATGTATTGCTGGGATTTGTATTCCTATGTATAACATGCAGAACAATGTACCATCAGCTATAGAGGAATACAAATCCCAGCAATACATTATAGAGCACCATGTATGGGAAAGTGCATGCTTACCTGTCTATCGGCAGCTGTCACCCCCCCCACACCTGCTCCTCCTTACTACTTCTCCCCACGTCCATGTGCCGATCGCGGATGTGGGCGGGCAGTGAACGTGAGGCGGGGAGGAGATGCGGCGTGTGGAGCGTGGATGCGGGCGGGTCTGGCAGCGGCGAACGTGAGGTGGGGAGGAGGTGCGGTGCGCAGCGTGTGTGGTGCCGTAAACAGGGCCAACCTATCAGAAGCTGATTAATCGATTGAAAAAGTTGACAACTTTTTAAATAAATCGTTTATAATCGATTATGTCGATTAGTTGTTGCAGCCCTAGTGCCATTATTATCTATTGGCACCCCAGGCAGATCGCATGGTTTCCCGCCACCAAACCACCTGTGCGCGGTCCAAAAAACCACGCGCTGTGTGTCGTAAAAAGGAGGTACATGTACCTTTTTTTAGCGATTGCCGTGCAGATGCAATCCCATTGAAATCAATGGGGCCACGTGGCAATCGCTGTGTGCAATCATGCATGATCGCACACATCCCAGGATCGCCGATATCTGAACCTAGTCTGAGTGATACACAAATAAGATACATTTTTGTTAATAGTTGGGGTACTCAAATGTATTTAAGATTTTGTACATGACTTGCCGTACTTCTCAATAAGAAAGTAGCGATGCACCGATACTTTTCAGATACCAGTGCCGATACTTGACATTTTCATGAGAACTACCAGGGTTGCAGCTGGGACCTGGCTCTTGCGCTCCGCCACTGACTTGAAATCATTAGTCTGTATTGTTTTAGAAAAACGATCACATGGCAATGAACAAAAATGTATCAGTACTTGGACAAGTATCAGTACATCTCTTTATGTATGTTTATAAAAAACAAAATCATACATTAAAAGAGAACTATGAGATGAGTGCTTTTCACTCACCTCATAGTTCTAGCCGACCTGTGATAATGAGACTGTCACAGGTCGGCTCAGTAGATCGGGAGGTGAGCGAACACATACCGGCGTTCGCTCCCCTCTCGATCCTGTCACGTAGAGCTGCAGCTAACGATTATTTTGAAAATCGATTAGTTAGCCGATTATTAAGTATGGGCGGGTCTGGCAGCGGCGAGCGTGAGGTGGGGAGGAGGTGCGGCGTGCAGCTTGTGTGGAGCCGTGAACAGGGCCAACTAATCAGAGGCCGATTAATCGATGAAAGTTGACAACTTTTTCGATAATCGATTATGTCGATTAGTTGTTGCAGCCCTACTGTCACGGGCCGGGGCTGGATTCCCCTCTCCCATCTGCCAGCGCTGACTGGCGGAACGGACGGGGCGGGTACAGCTGGCTCTGCCTCTAGATAGGCAAAGCCAGCTGTCACTAACGCAGCTGGGCGGATCCCGTCATCTACGTCGGGATCCGCTCCGGCGTCTCAGTATACCGCGAGCTGTAGCTCGCGGTATACTGAGCTTAGGGTAATGGGAGGACGCTAGTTTGTGTCCTCCCGCTACCCTAAGGAGAACTATGGGGGAAAACACTGACCCCATAGTTCTCCTTTAAAACAGAGATGTACAAATCCCAGGAGCTCCGTGTGCTCCTTACAAATGACAGCTGCCTCCTAACTTTTGAATTTTTCTCTAGTCTAGTAGCTCGAAAAGTATGTGTACATCCCTAATGAAAAGTTACTGAAACAGAAAGACACGTCTCAACCGCTGAGCTCACATAATGACTAGGGGCACATTGCCAATTGATTCATCACTATCCCCCCCCAAATCTAGGTACAGCTCCCCCGGGGACACCACAGCTCAGTCTCCCCGAAATAGTTGCTGCTCCTTATAGCGGTCGGAGGAGCCCTCTCGTTCATATCTGGCCCTGGCGTGTCTCTCACCTGCTCACTCTCCAGCAGCACCATCTTCTCTTAGAGCTGATCTCAGCACAAGACGCCGGAAACACATCACCAGGAAGTACAGCGAGCCGCAATCATAAAGCTTTCCGGGGTATAGAGCGTCCAATCATAGAGTGACGTTCTGTTACAGAGATACCTCAGCAGCGCCCCTAGCGGCCTCCTGAGTACGAGCTTCACTGTGCACAGTAGAGTCCTCCGTAGGAACAGATCCATACTCCTCTTTCTGTGATCTGAAGTCTGATTGGATATAGTAAAATGATGCACTTTGTGAATCTTTAATGGTCTTTGTTTAGGTCTCTGTTGCATTTTTTTTTTTACATTTTTTTATTGTGAACTAAAAGTGGCAAAAATTAAATTGTCACAAAGAAAAAAAAATGCCCTAATTTTGTGGCTATTCAGACAGTTGCTTTTTGTGAATTTATGACACAAACATTAATAACAAGAAGAGCTGTGAAAGGATGAGGGGAAAGGAGTGGTTTTAACCAATAATTTTTGGCTTATTCTTCCTGGTCCACGCAATGTGGGCGTGCGTGACAGGGCAACAAACTAGCAAGCACAAAAGTATACCACCAACAACACATGAACAATCATAACAGATGTGGGGAACAAACTTCAAGTCATGACAATACATGGGCAACCAACGGGTAGTCATGGTAACTAAGTAGTTGTGGAACTACATGAGCAACAAATAGGTGCTTATGGCAATGAGGGAACAGCAAACGGGCATTTGTGAGAATACATGGGCAACAACACGGCAACCATTTACAACACATGGGCGACAAACAGGCACTCGTGACAATAAATAGGCAACTGTGACAATAAACAATGATGTGCAATAAAATGCAGCATCAATAACTGGAGCCCAGCTGATATATAAGCTCAGTGGGGGGAATTCATAAAAACTGGAGCAGAGAGAATCTGGAGCAGTCGCCCATAGTAACCAATCAGCTTCTCTCTTTCATCTTCAAAGCTTAACTGAACAAACTGAAGAGAGAAGCTGATTGGGTGCCATATTAAAACTGACTCCAGTCTTCATGAATTCCCCCATTGAGTTTACTGAGGACCCTTCGAGGAGCTAATATAATCAATCATCTGATGGTATAACTTCACCTCTAGATAGCAGAGTAGGTATTTTCTAAAGCTAAATGCAAGGTGGTTGTGTTATTTTTATATAACCAAAAGGTGCCCAGGTCAGTACAGTAAAGAATTAATCCACCTATACCTGGCAAAAGAAAAAAACCTTGGCATTGCATGAATGCTTGTGAAATGCACAAAAAGCATGCGCATTAATGTGTGTTTACGCAGCACATTAAAAACGTGCAACATTCTTGAGGTACCATTACTTGCTAATGATACCCAAACTCAGAGTGTAAAATGTGTGTTTTTGCCAGTGTGTGGATGCGTGTCATAAGCGTGGTCAAAAAACAGGATAAGCTCAAAGATCAAACGTTTGTTGCACGTGCGTCAGCCCATTGATAGGAATAGGTTGATACATGGCAGCGGCAGCAAAAACATGTGTACTCACACATCGCAAAAGTGTGAAAATGGACTAAAACATATACTAGCATGCTCTAAAGCCCTGGTTCTCAACTAGTGGGTCGTGACCCAAGACCCTGTGTTCAGTGGGACGCCGCGTGCTTTCCACTGTGCTAGGTGAGAGGTTACTCAGCTTACCCCTAGCACAGCACTCAGTTTTTGTGCTCAACAGCCATTAAAAATATGCTGCCCAGTGCCAAGTGTCAGCTTGAGGTGAGGTGGGCAGGGGATATGGCCACAAGGGAGCTCCATTCATACATGCACTGCTTACAGCCCCCTCACGTGCCCTGTAGAGGTGCCTGGATCGAAGTGACATCACATTCTGGCTCCTGGGACCTCTACAGGGTGCGCAAGGGAGCTGTACAAGCAATGCAGATGGAGCTCTGTCACAGCAGCCCACACTGGACCCCAGGCTGAGGATCCACTCCAGTTCTTGTAAGATAGGGAGACTGGGTGGATCTTTAAAAAAAGATTTAAGATTTGAGTTCTAATAATGCTTCATAAGTTTGCATTGTTTGCAAAAAATGGAAACAATTCTGCAAGTTACATGCCCTGGGCAATGTCTTTGCCACTTTGCATACCATTGAACACATGCTGGGGCAAGTGCAACCCTTAAAGAGGAACAGAACTCTGGAAACTGTGCCCCAAAAATAAGACAGGCAGGAGGCAAAGGACTAGTCACCAATATTGTCCTTGGACTCACTGCAGTTGATCTTTCCCATTACTGTATTACCATCCCTTGTTCTGCACTGTGTTTCTGTGTAAAGGCGAAAGTCCATAAGCCCATTACACTCCTGGCCGTCTAGTCCATGGAAAGTAGTGGGTGCATAGGTGACCAAAGTATAGCGCTGTAACAGAACATACACATGTAGGACACTGGCACTCCAACATTACAAAAGAATACATCTTTTATTGACGTGGTGGTTGATCACATGGTTTTGCCTGATGAAGGGGATCCTGTGTGCAGGGTTGCCACCTGTCCGAGATTCACCCGGACAGCCCAGGTATTGCATGCTGTGTCCATGTTTCATGGCAGCTGAGACTCGGACACATGATGTCAGGAAGACAGGGACAACCAAAATTAAGATAGGGGCTACTGGCCCCCCACTGAAAATCTTGACTGTGATATTTACATATGAATGGGTGGCACTATTTACATATGAATAAGCAGCGACTCATTGTCCCCAAAAATTTCCGGAAGCTGCTTCAGAAACACTAGTCCGGCACAGAGGAAGCCAGGACCCGGAAATGCCAGTCAGGCAGCGAAGAAGATCGGGTGTCCGCAACACCACTGGTCCTGCGGTGAAGGAGGGCAGATCCCGCAGCGGGTGGCAGAGGCAGGTAAGAGGATTACACTGCTGTTAAAGGGACCCTACAGAGCCCAGCATAGCTTCTGCACAGCCCACCTGAAAGTCTCAGGTGGGCTCTGCAGGATCTGTGGTGGGGTCTATGGTGTGCTCCACAGGGCCTCAGAGGGGCTGTGCAGGATCTGTGGTGGGCTCTGTCTCATGCAGAGCCCAGCACAGGCCCTGCACAGGCCCCCTGAGACCCTGCAGAGCCCACCACAGATCCTGCACAGCTCCCCTGAGACCCTGCAGAGCCCACCATAGACCCCGCAGAGTCCACCATAGACCCTGCAAAGCCCACCACAAATCCTGCACAGCCCACCGGAGACCCCGGCTTTCCTGCTATGCTAATAGTGGAACATGTCAAAAGCTGGATACAACAAGTGTGCTGTATTCAGCGACTGACAGGCCTGAATTTCTTGCCTAGGGCAGCCCCAAACCAAAATACACCACTGTCCATCTCCCACGCTCTCAGAAGCTGCATACAGTGTGTGTCGGTTACTATTTAAACCGTCACACGCTGTATGCAGCTTCTGAGAAGATACGCTATTAGCGTAGTGGGGATGCTGGCTACACTAGTAGCGCAGCCTGTTAGAAGCTAAAAAAATGTCCACGGATTTCATTTTAAAAATCTGGTCACCTTACTTTAGAGGGATCCACAGAAAAGGGGAACTCATTCCAAAGTTTTGTAGACAAAACTTCTTCTGATGGAACTCAGAAGAAGGTATATGAGGGGATAGGTTGTACATAAGCCCCCACATGCCAGCACCCTAGTTGGGCAACATAGGTGTCAAAGAACCCAGTGCTGCTCGACATCAATCACTGGTACTATGTGAGGGCTTATTTTTTTCTCAAAGCACCCACCCAGTTCTGAAGAGTATGCAGGCTGCTGTCAGCATGGCAAGAGGACATAGGAATATGAGCATCAAGGGCCTCCCTAGACGTCTCTCCGCCTGACGTCAGCAAGGGGGGATCCATATTTTGGGGGTGGGGGAATGGGTTTTGGGTTAGCTGATCTTGTTGCATGTTCAGGGTGTGTTGGCGGCTCATGGTGCACTTTCAAAGGGAGTGGACATTTTTTGTCCACTCCCGGTGGGGGTGGGGGTTGGGATTGTGGTGGTGGTGCGGGTTACCAGGGGGAGGTTTGCTGGTGGTGCACGGTACCTCTGGCTCCAACTCTGTCCGATGACGCACCAAGCACACTGACATCTCCAGTTGCCAGGAGTTGGGCGGGACCCCAGCCAGTGCGTCACAGGTTGCTAAGAGCACTTAGCAACGTGGGGCATTCTAACATGAGAGGAGCACTGCCAACACTAGATTTCCTCCTGATCTACCTATAGGGGATCTTGAAATTAGCCTTTTCTAATGAAAACATTTTGTGGATCAGGTGTTCATATGACAAAGGAAAAACTGCAGAATTTAATAACAATGAAAACTTTACTCGCTTTGATGAATAAAGTCATGTTTTCAAATGTGAGAATGTCATTTAAAAGACACAGGGGGGATTTATCAAAACTGGAGCAGACAAAATCTGGAGCAGTTAAGCTTTGAAAATAAAATGTGGTTGCTGATTGGTTACCATGCACAGTTGCTCCAGATTTTGTCTGCTCCAGTTTTGATAAATTCCCCTCAATTTTGTGAGAAGTGCTATCACAGCCTCACGATTCAGGTCTATGGTACAAATTATAGTAGAGATCGCGGCACAACGTTGAATGTCCTTTTACCAGTAGATGTCTCCCTTCTACAGAGAATCCTATGTTGTGTCGATTGCATATCAAGAAAAAAATAGAGGCTGCCATCACTGATCACTCCTTTTAAAAATCCTACTTGCCTGGCTGCCTTGCTGACCTTCTTATTTCAATACTTTAAAACAAGACATTAAACAAGATAAGGAATTATGGCTTTTCTCCGACACTACTGTATCCTTTATGCTTGTTTCAAATCAAGTCAAGTAATCGAGTCAGTATAATAGCCAGCCAACTAGCATTTTCAGATGGAGGTCAGCAATTTGACATTGTTAACCATTGGCTGTTATTTTGAGGCAATAAGTCATATTATTGCATTTTTTAATTAGATGTAACCAAAGTACTTATTGGGCTTTTTGTAAACATTGCTAGCTTATGGAAATGCAATGGGTTCTTCAGCATTTAAAAGGAGTTTTAAAGTCCTAGCATATACTATCCTGTTATAACATCAGCATT